GGAATCAAAGCCAGGACCCTTCAGTCTGACGCTCTATCCACTGAGCCAAACCAGCTCGGGCAAAAGTTCCAAATTTAGAATTGCACAGGACAGAGCCTGAGGCCTGACAGTCCCTCCCCGGGGTCTGGGATGGTCCTTGAGGTGGTGACACCTCAGCTGAGCAGTCAGCCTTCAAACGGACAGTGCCAGCCTCAACTGACTCCACCCTTTTCACTCAGGCATGTCAGAGTCCCAGGAACTGAGACCTGGCACCAGGCTTTGGGAGGGGATGGCAGCGGCCAGTGAGGGGCAGGCAGATGGTTACCAGAAGAAGAGAGGTGCAGGGCTGGGGGAGATGAGGAGTGGGGGCAAAACCATAGACCCCCCCCCACCCGGAGCCAGGTGGGGCATTCCTGGGTGTTTAGGCAGTGCCCAGGATCTAACTGGTGGGCAGTGGTGGGCACACAGAACTAACTGGATCTCCATCATAACAGAATTGGGTGCGAACAACATAGCCCAGGAGACCCATGTAGGCCTGAGGGCCTGGAGTTTGGCCAAGAGGAAAGGGAGAGGAATCTAATGGAAAGGGGAAGCTTAGACCTCAGGAATGTGGCTGAAGGCATGGATCTTGGGTATGACCATCAGGGAGGGGGCGTGGGGATGGGCAGAGCATTAAGAAACCCCAATGCTGTGTTTCCTGTTCTGTGAGGCCCCACAACCACAGCTGGGCACTGTGGTCTCAGTGAGTGCAGGGGGACCCTGGGCCAGCAGGGGCAAAAAGGGGGGCAGAAACCACTCCACTCCACTCATTTTCAGGAAAGCTGTTTCCACAGTCTGTTGTCCACTTTATCTGGCAACCAACATAAACCCTCACTTTGAGAGTGTTTTTCTCCGTAGCTTCTGTTTGCAGACATTTAAATCCAACTTCTCAGATGATTTTTATTTATAAAGAAACTTAACCAGACATTTTTTCTTCTTTATTGCAAGCAGATTCAAGTCTCCTGCTTAGATAATCTGCCGAAAAGTCCAATATAATTAATATTAACTCATACTTTATCTACAGAAATAAAAGTTAAAAACAGCATACAAAATAAACTGTACGGAAATGTAAGATTTGGTTTAATTTATAATTTAATGTTTCAAAGCAGGTTAATGAATTACTATCAATTAAACATGACTTTCTGGAGGCTGACATTATCTTAAACGCACCTACTATAGTCAATAATTTAAAAATAAATTCCAGTATTTATGATGATGACAACTACAGATTCCATTCCTGCTAAATACATTTTTGAAGATTCTCTTTTATTGCATTACATAATCAATGGACATTTTAAATGGCAATGCAGACACACATTATAATTTTAAATCACAGACAATATATGCATATTAAAATTCTGTGTATTTTGATAAGGTAAAAAATAAAGCTATATAAACTGATCTTTATATATTTTTTTCTGCAAAAGTAGAATCACACTTTAATAATACTTCCAACATGTCTTCATTAAAACTTTGTTGATAGACAATATCAGAATGATTCTCATTCTCATTTACCTACCCTCTACTTAAAAAAAATGAATTAACCAACAGAAATTTTTCCTGTTTTTAAAGTTACAAATGGGAAACTTCTAAAAGAAACGTAGAACACAAGAAACTGCATACCACGGTGTTATATTGAGTTATCAAATAAATAATATTAATTTAAAGGTAAAGTAGAAGTGGTTGCTTTAGGTTATTACTAGTCAGTGCAAAAGAGGTGAACTTAGTGGTTTAAAGAAAAAGGCCAGAAAACTCCCTGTAGGTTGCACTGAACATTTGGTGATGCCCAGCAATTTAAGAATAGTGAGCACAGCAGGGGTGAGACATTTTTGTAGTTAAAGTTGCAAGATCTCACCAGGCCAAACTGCAGTTCTATAAACCTGTTATTGCAGAAGCAGGTTGCTTTCAGCCTCCTTCCCTAGTCCAGGCGGCCACCACCAGGTGTCACCTGGTCTGTGTTCACCCTATTGAGTCAAATGCACAGGAGTGGGTTGATTTGGGTTCTAATAGGAATGTCAAGGGAAGGATGCTTTTATCCTAGCTGCCCCGTGGCAGAGGGCCAGCCCGCGATCCTGAACTCCTGTGAAGACCCTGCAGCTGGGAGGGTCCAGATGCCACTTTCTGCCACTTGTCCTCAGGGCGAAGCTTTGGTGGTGGGGGTGTCAGTTGGGAGGGGAGAGGTTGGACTTCCTGAAAAGGAGGAGCTTGGGCTACCCAGCAGCTCCGCTCAAACCCAGGGGCGGCCCTGCAAAGTCTCTCTCCTCCTCCCTCCCCTTCCCCGTATCCCCGTGGGCACTCGGCATGGAGGCCCAAGAAGCCTTGTCTTCTGGGGGCTCCTCACGTGATCCCCTTAGGAAGGAGGCAGGGATGTGTGGGGCCTGGGGAACGTGTATGTGTGTGTGTTGTGTGTGTGCATGAGAACTGGCACATGTGCACATGTGTGGCTGTGAGTGGATGTGACGCTGAGAGTGAGAGAATGTGACATGGTCGGGACCACTCGTGCTTATAGATGACTGGCTGTTGGGCTGGAATGCGGGTTAGGAACCAGAAATTCTGACCAACATGGGAAATTATGAGTTAATGATCTACTAACATAGGCAGTCATGAATAAGAGTTTCAACACTAAGGAAAATGCTTAAAGTTACTTGCTTTAAAGTTAAAGGCAAGTAAATGCTAACTCCTGTGAGGTGAAAAGAAATAACATTAATTAATATCTGAATATCAGAGACATATCTGAAATGTCATTTCAGTGGGGCTCTTCTCTTCCTCCCTTTGTTTCTGTCTCCTGCCCCTCGCAGGCAGAGTCCCTTCATTTCCCACACGTTTTTAGGAAACATTATGGAGCATGTACAGGCTTAGTGACTTTCACATGCGACTTCAATGATCTGAGGTAAATGGTAACCGTCTCAATACAGGTGGAAAGAAGATACCGAACCATCAAGTAAGAAGCTTCTGTTTTAAGGCGGAAAGATGGAAATTAAAAACAAAACAAAAAGCAGATGAAATTGCAATGAACTGTGAAGAACAAGCATAGCAAAATATTACACTCTGAATATGCCTTCCAACGAATCACTGCCACCAGAAACACCAAAAACGAACAGGTGTAGAGAATAAAATCAAACCTGAAAATTCACATTCATCAGATATCGAGACATTCAGCCAAAACTCTCACCAGAATTTAAAGTGGCCAAAATTTCATCAACTTAAAAAATAAAAAGCTTTAAAAACATACTTTAAAAATTAGACATGGTATGTTGACAAATAAACGAATAAGAGATATAAACAGCTATGAAAATACTTCAGTGCAAAGGCAATTTTAAGATTCCTAAAAAAATACATTACAAAGAATTTGTTAACTAAACATACAGAGAATCTGTCCCCCCTACAGGTATTACATTTATACCCATATTAGGTTCTTAAAAACGGTTGTAAAAATGTGCACACCATTGTTTGCAGGGTCTAGTGTGGATCAGAACAGCCAAGGGCTGCCACCACACACAGAACATGGGGAGTGTCAGGAAGACAGGATGGGACGGGTGGGTGTGGTGAGGACGACCCTCAGGATGGACAGGGCGCCAGACTTTCGTTACCTAGTCTTTGGTATGGTGTTCACACTTGCCCTCAATTCATCCCAACTACTCTGTGTTCACTGTTCTTACTGTGAATTTATCCCCTACATCAAATAAATACTTTAGGTGAAACATTATACGATCAAATTGTGAAATTTGAACTTCCAAAACTATGTAACATCCAGCATCTCAGAAGCAGACTTGGGTTCACTTACCAACGTCCCCCAACTCCACAGCGTGAGATCGGCCAGCGGACCAGGACCCTGCTTTTAGGTTAGTTTCCGGGTGACACTTTTCTAAAAAGGCATCAGTTTTAACGTTTCAAGTTTGAATCTCACACTGAAATGTCTTTCTTATGGACCATTAAGGCTATAATGTCAACTAGGTTATTCCCAGAAATAGAAACGCCAGTGCAGGAAAGTGACAGAACTTGAACTCAGCAGCCTCCTGATGGTCTACCCACTGGACAGCACGCACAAGGCAGAGGTCGAACAGAAAGCTCAGCGTGAGCTTTGGTCAGAGCTACCAGGGAGGTGGCAGCCTAGAGTGGCGATATTGCTTTTTAGAACCCACAGGCCATCTAGGGGGCAGACCCGCGCGGGCCTGTATAGATTTTGGAAGATGAACACTGCCCCTTGAGGCCACCTCTCCGTGAGGGCGCTGAAAGAGACCACCACCCTTCCCCTGGCCCCCACGAAATAAAGAGTAAACTGACACGCCTCACCCTTGGAGGCAAAGATAAATATCTCAAAACTGGTACTGGGAAAGCTTCAATGGACAGTACTGCCCATTCCTCCTAAGTGAGTACTCTTTTCCCTCTGAGGGAACGGGAAAGGGAGAGACATGGAAACACACAGAGTCCAAAACACAGGGGTCACATCTCCCTCAGAGAAACAAACTTTGAATCAGACGCAACCCTAAGAATCAGCTTCAGTATGTGGAGGGTTCTGAACAAAAGCAACAGCACAGCAGGCGACTCGGTGGGGGATGGATGCACGATCACTCCCGTGTCTGTGCCGCAAGCGAATATCAGAGGGCTCTGGAGGAGGAAGCGGCGGCCAGACCATCGGTTCCGCAAGGGAGAGTCACATCTGTGCTTACAGGACGGTGTGGGGGTGACTGCCTCCCGCTCAGAGCTGAGCCCATCTCCAAGCAGACGTCCTCCTCGGGCGATGCGTGTGGCGGAGATGCCGGAGGGCGCAGACAGAGACCCTGACCTGGGACGGATGTAGCAGGCCCTGTGCACGCCTTCTTTTTAGCAGCCCAACGAAATGCCCGAGGCCACCAGGCCTGTGGGAAATGACAATGCAGACTGCCAGCCTCCGCACTCCAGACGGGTCCTGTGCCCCTTCTTCCTCCTCTGGGGGCAGAGGACAAGCACCGGCGTGCGCGGCGTACACCCGCCTGCGGGTCTTAAAGGCTTGAACTGGTGATCTGTTCGCCACCTGCCTCCCTGCAGGGCTCATGGCAGCAGGGCTTCCCGCTGGGATGGTGACAGGTGTCCGAGACACAGACCATGGGAGGGAGGACCGAGCACTCCTTGCTCTCTGGGCACGTTAGCGTCACCTGTGTGGGGCAGATGGCCGAGGTGTGGGGGCTGTGCAGAGAGACAAAACGGCTGACTTCAAAGAGGTCCCGACTCTGGGTGGGCATGTCCTGTCGGGAAACAGAGAAGACAGAGTCAGGCCCCTCCGCAAGAATCCCACCCACGATGATCCGACGCAGTCACTGCATCGTCCTGGTCGGGGGCTCCCACTGCAGGACACCGGTCAGCCGGCGTCCATCCAGGTGAACCGCGGCAGAGGCAGCGGTGACCCTCGGTCTGGCTACGAACTCCCCTTGCTGTCCCATCGTTGGGGAAAGACAATGTTGATAAAGGCCCCAGGGACCAGGTCTGATTCCTTTAGTGTAAGAGTGCCACGCCACCCCTCAGAGACGGGGCCACGTCGTCCTGACCCGCCGGCTCGCTGGCTCCCGCCTACGCTTATCTCTAGTCACACAAATGGGGCCGTGCTGTTTCTTAACAGCCCAGGGAGACCTGCGACTCATCCTAGACACCTTCACATTGAGCAGGCAGGGAGTGAGGGGCAGCCAGCGAGGAGAAATCTATTTTAAAAAAATATATTTTTATTGATTTCATAGAGGAAGGGTGAGGGAGAGAGAGAGAGAGAAACATCAATGAGAGAGAATCACTGATCGGCTGCCTCCTGCACGCCCCACAGTGGGGATTGAGCCCACAACCCAGGCATGTGCCCTGACTGGGAATCGACCTCTGACCTCCTGGTTCACAGGTCGATGTTCAATCACTGAGTGCCGGCCGGGCGAGGAGAAATCTATTTTAAAGGAATGAGCATTCCCAGTGTGCCTGCTTTGGGGTAGAGGAGGGGGGTTGTCAAATCCGAAGAACCTAGCTCAGTGTGAACACGGCTGCGTTTCCTCTCCTTGTTTTTTGGGCCCAGACACAGCACCAGCTTCAGCTGACAGACAACAGTGCATTCGTGCCAGACCTGCCTGGGCTAACGTCCAGCACTCCTTTTTATTTCCAAAGAGGGCCTTTCCTGATTGACCTGTGAAGGGAAGCCGTTTCCACCACCAGGGACGAAGAATGAGATTGTTCTGGCACACCGAGCACCGAGCACACCACGCGGGGACCTCACGCAACTGCACGTGGAACCACGTTCACCACGGCGTGTGGATGTGGATGTGCATGTCGGGGATGTGTGCATATCCACATGTGTGTACACGACACTCAACCATATGCAGTCCAGCCACTCTCAGGCAGGGCACTTACCTGGGATAGAAATACACGTGTGTGTGTAAAAATGATTTCCTTTTTTTGTTTGTTTTAAATGAATCTTTGTTATCAAAACGGCACAGCACAGCAAAACTTTGGAGGAAAAACAGACAGTTTGAAAGAGCACAGCACACCCAGGGGGCCTGCCAGGCAGCATGGTGGACGTCGTTACCTATCCGTGGGCTAATCACGCCTCGGCCCCGGCAAGACGTCCGTCAGCAGTGGCCTGTCCGGGCTCAGCGCGGCATCGACCGCTGTTTTGGGTTTCGAGCTCTTCTGCAAGGCGAGGAAAGACACTGAGATGGCTGCCACACGGGGAACCAAGGGAGCTCTCCGGGCCGCTGAGGGCAGAATCCGGCCCTGCAGCTGGGGTGGGGGCCAGTGCCCACGAGGGCCGCTCACTAGGCCCCTCTGCGTGAATGGGGCATGTTGGATCCACCTGGAAGTCTGTGCAAAACCTGGGGCAGATGGGCACGGGGCTGTCAGTGTGGGCATTCCCAGGGGCTCTGCTGGGGGAAAGAGGTGGTCTTCCTAGCGGGAGGGAGCTGGTGCAGAGAGGATGGGCCATGCGGGAGAGCAGGGTCTCAGCTGAAGGGCCACCTGCCGGGCCTGCTCCCAACCCAGCAAAGGCCAGCCTCTGTCACGAGCACAGGAAATGCTTCCAGAACCCTGAAGCCAAAAATCCTGCCACACTCAGCTGAAGGCTTCTCAAGTGCCATTTACTAGACAGCTGCCCCCCTCCCAAGAAAAGAGCACCAAGGTTCCCTGAGGGGAGAACTGTGTGCCTGCCACCCTTGTCCTTCTGCCTGTCTTCCTGTCTGCCCCATCCTTCTGTCCTCCCATCTCTCCTTTTCCTTCTGATCCTCAGCCCTGTCTCTAGTCAAACAGAAGAGTCCTGCCCACGGCTAGGATCCTGAAAGCTCAGTGCTGCAGGTCAGCGGGGCTGGGAATATGAACACTAGGACTTTCCAGTCTGATCATATTAGTTTCTCAGTAATAGGAAGAAGATTTTAAAAAGTAAAGTACCACAGGTCTGAATTGCAGAATGTCTTCTGGGAAGGAGAAGAATGAGCTAAACAGGAGGTAGAGTTGTTGCCCTTTGAATTATATATAATTCAATTATATATAAAAATATAGGTAGCTATAGATAAATACATATATATATATATGTATTTATACACACACACATATATATGAAACCTGGTGCCTGCGATGTTTTACTTTTTAATAGAACAGGTTAAAAGAAAAACAATCCATCCATTTGAAGTACTGTATGTTCCATATGAGAACTAACCAAATGTTTATTCCTCCAAAGTTTTGCAACCATCTGGGTGGTTTTACAGCAACACCAGCCTCACCTCGTGTGTGCCAGGAGCGCGCTGGCTGCAGGAACGCTGTGTGAAGGTGTGGGTGTGGGGACACCTGTGGTCACACCCCGTGTGGCTAGCCACCACAGAGCACTCAGAGACAACCTGCTCCAAGCAGCCAGAGCCTGGCTTCTGCAAAGGTATAGAAGCGAATCAACTCTCACTAAACTGCAGTTAGAGCTCTCACTTTCAGCCCAGAGCTGGCATGACTGGATCGATTTCATCAGTGGCCCTGGGACTGATTAAAGTGTCCCAATAATTCCATCCTGAGCCCTTTCAGATATGTAAACAGCGACATGAGGCTAGGTAATTAATTCTAATTCTGATGGCACCAGATTAGGAAACTTCGATTGCCAATAACCATTTGAACTAAAAAAAAAAAAAAAAAAAAAAAAAAAAAAGTGCCATCTTGTTAGTTAAAAAATAGTGTTTAAAATGTATAGAGGAGGAGCTGTTATTTAAAGAAAAAAGGAGCCTTCCCTTGCTTTAGGCATTTTCCTATTTAAACATTTTCCTAAACTGCATTAGTAAACCATAAATACCAAATGTGTTTTCCAAGTAGCATTACTTTGGGGGAACACATGAATGTGGTATTTGGGTACACGGGCATACAGCTGGAAAACAGACACTAGTTAATGTGTTGTCCCTCAAATCTTGGCTCTGATAAAAGGCTTTGATCCAAGGCGACTGCCACAGAGAAATGCTGTGTGATGGGCTCTCCATGGCTGAGAAATAGGCTACTACAACCATTTAAAGCAAAGTAGAAGGCTTTTTCTAGAAACAATCAGATTAAAACAAAATTTTTAAAAATGAATTTGGTAGAACTTTTGACTCAAAACACATTTCTCCTGGCTTTGTCCACAGCCCAGATGGCTGGCCCGAGCACACTGCCCTGGGGAGGCCTCAGTTTCCCTGTCTGCAGAATGGATTTACGAGGTGAATGTGAGTGAGAAGGTCTTGCTACCCATCCTCTTTGGGCTGCGGAGAGAAGGACGGCACTGAGGAAACTTTGCTCACATCGGGGCTTGCGTGACTTAAGAAACTGCCACACCCACACCTTCATGTGTAGGAAGCACGAATTTAAGGCAGCACAGCCCGATGCGCTCGGCTGGGCCTGAGTGAAGACGCAGCCACCCCTGCAGGTGGGATAATACTTCCAATGGACGCTGAGAGAGAAACACTGGTTAGTGGTATTGATAGAAATCACAGTCCACATGACCTTCCCACATCCAGGTACGAGTCAGCCCTGTAATTCCTGGTGTGGTGGTGGTGATCACAGACATAGGAGCCGTGAACACCAGTGTGTTCGACAGCTCTTGCTATTAAAAGTCAGCCCTCTGTTGTCCTGTGACTATAAACTCAAACATGCAAAAAGACAGAAAGCATCACCTGTTCCGTCAGAAACTCAGGCTGCTGGAAGTCTGAGAAAGCATAAAGATGGTGGACTGCTCGACAGAAAGGCACTGGTTCTTAGCCTGGCAGTCCCGGGAGGTTCAGGAGGGGCCACGCACATCATTAGATAAGGTAGCAGTGTTATTTAGCCACAGAGGTCAGAGGACGGAAGGGAACGAGGAAAGGAAGAGAGAAACAAGAACAACGGTGAGTCTGATTAAATGCCAACAATATCCCACATACACCAATGCAGCGTGCTAAGCGACCAGACAATGTGGGCCACGCCCCTAACAGTCCTAGCCCCCCCGTGTCCGGGGACACTCGCTTGCTAGAAGGCCGTGTGGACCTCACTCCTGCTGTACTTCTCCTCCTTGCCAGCAAAGCCCTAAAAACATCCCTGTCCTATATCACTTGTTTAAAGGTGAAAACTCGAAACAATTCGTAGGGCAGTCAGACGTGCACACTCTCGCCGATCTCCTGAGTCTGTGTCAGCGCCGACTTTACAAACCTGGCAGGTACATACAGGAGGGAATCGCTAGGAACTGGTGCCGCTGGCTTCAACATTTTAAATGAACACCAGAGTTCTGGGAAAGCTCACCAACCCAGATCCCACTCCACTGCCGGGATCAGATGGGGTGGGAAAAAGGCAGTGCCAGACCACGTCCACGGCACCCCAGTGGGGGCTACCTGTTTTCCATCCCAAATGTGGGCCAACAGCACTCGGAGATCCAGACCACTGGGGCCATGTAAGCTTTCTGGAGTGCCTCACCACTGCTCCCAGAACCTATGACATGTCCTCTTCTGCCTTACAGCCGCCCTCCCTCCTTCACCTGCACAACCACCTGTGCTCTACGAGGAAGACATGCAACCTGCAGAAACAGCCTCAGCTGTGGCTTCCACCCTCTCACCAGGGCCCTTCCTTCTCCTTATTGAGGCTCTGCACCTCCATGGGCAAATCACAGGGATGAGGGGATGGGGGACATGCCCTCCCTGAAACTGCAGGGGTGAGGGGGTGGGGGATGTGACCTCCCTGAGACTGCAGGGGTGAGGGGGTGGGGGACGTGACCTCCCTGAGATTGCAGGGGTGAGGGGGTGGGGGATGTGACCTCCCTGAGACTGCAGGGGTGAGGGGGTGGGGGACGTGACCTCCCTGAGATTTTGCAGGGGTGGGATGGGGGAATGTGACCTCCCTGAGATTGCAGGGGTGAGGGGGTGGGTGATGTGACCTCCCTGAGATTGCAGGGGTGAGGAGGTGGGGGATGTGACCTCCCTGAGATTGTAGGGGTGAGGGGGGGATGTGACCTCCCTGAGATTACAGGGGTGAGGGGATGGGGAATGTGCCCTCCCTGAAATTGCAGGGGTGAGGGGATGGGGGTTGTGCCCTCCCTGAGATTGCAGGGGTGAGGAGGTGGGGGATGTGCCCTCCCTGAGAGCTCTTGGAAGGGCCAGCGTGGTTTTGGAAAGCTCTGAGTGACACCTTCTGGTGTCCTATGCCAGTTTGGTCACTTTGCATATCTCACTTCTTACCTGAATCCAGAATTCAGTTTATTGGCCTCAATTTGGGAATGTGGAAAATAAGTAGCCTGACTAACTACCAGAATTTCCCAGTGTAAATGCTAAAGTTTTGAGCCAAATTCACCATTCCTAAAAATAATGCAATTTTATTTTTAAAATAATGATTGATTTAAAAAAACTTTTTTAGATTTACATGAAATAATTGGTCTTTTGTATTGGCTTAATCTTTTTCCTATTTCAGCTGACTAGCTGCTTAGGTCTAAACATTGGTCATCTTGAATTTTACCTAAGTTAATGTTTAAAATCAACTACCATGAAATTTATTATAATACCTGTACTGATGACGCTTTCAACCCAAACCTTTCATGCTACCCTTGGTAATGACCATGTCCTGCTCTGAATCTGGGGACTGCAGCGCCCACGCCCCTGCGGGAGCAGCCGGGTACCTGGACTCTCTCTGTGGCGCTGGGCCACAGCTGCCTGCACAGGACTTTCTTGAGAACATCGGGAAGGAGGCTGATCGTGATGAGCAGGATGATGGCCAGCCAGGCAGGGCCACTGGATAACATCTGGATGAACACATAGTACATCCTTTGATAATTGAGGAATGGCCTGGAGCGTTGGGGGAAAGAAGAAAAACAACAGGATGGCAGGTCAGAAATCATCAGGAGAAACACTGAAATCCCGCTGTTTCCCCCACTGGCACAAAGAGCCCTTTGTCCTGGCAGCTTTAACTTCTGGCACCGATGGTCATTGGGCAAGCCACTGAACCTGCCTGCTTCGAATTAACCACAGACCCAATGGGATGGAGAACTTCCCCTATAACGCTGGGGTGTTCTGAATGGGAAAAGAGGAGGGGATTGTATGAAGTCATCCCAAAGGGAAAATAAGTCCCTGAAGTTCAGTTTCAGAATCACAAAAAGGATTTAAAAAGATTAAAATGGGTAATTTTTTTGGTATCTCAGAATCACAATGGCTATTGACATGAAGATTTACAAAGGTCCTGTTCATCAGAGCTCTAGTTAACTACCTAAAGCTTATGCCATAAAATTCTTTAAAATTGTCTATAAAAATACAGAGCATGAAATGGCTTCCCTGTCAGGCAAATCTATACCTCAAAGGAAATATCTATATTGGGCTCCATAAAAGAAGTTGAAGAGGGTGCAGCAATTGATATAATGCTGAACCTGATTTACAGTTTCATGATCCCTAAACCCCAAGGCCCAGGAGCCAGTCAGAGAAGTTTTCAGGATGAACTTTCCTCTTCCAGGGCTGCAGCTTTAACAACTTGGGAAAGTTCGCTAGTATTTCAGGGATTTTTTAAAGCTTGGCACAGGGTTGTTGGAAACCCACCCAAAACTTATCTAAGATTTCTCTATTTCCAGATCGCAAAGAACATGTAATGCATGGCTTTGGTCACGAGAGGGCAGTAATGTAATGAGAGGTTCAGCAAGGGCCAACATGGGGACAAGGTTGATCACAGAGGCTTCTCTACTTTCAGGGGCTGCCCCGTGTTTCTCAGGACCTGTGCTCAATATTGAAGTTGCAAAGTGGAGAGGATATTGCTTCTGGACTCACATCCAGCCAGGCCTAATCGAAAGAGGCACTCCCTCCCAGGTCATAGCCACTAGGACCTTCTCACTTACCTTCCCCTAGGCCCAGCCCTGCTCAGGAAATGCTCTGCTTTACGCGGAAGGTAGAAATGTACACAGGAGAATTATAAAACAATATGGTACCTCCATGACAGGAGAATGAATAAATGCTTAGGGGACGAGGTGGAACCGTCTGTGAGGTGATTCGAGGGAAGCATTGAAGAGGACAATGAACCACAGGGTTCTGAAGGATGAATAAGAGCTCAAGAGGAAGGCTAATTGGAAAGGGCATTTTTGGTGGTAGGAAGAGCATGGGCGAAGGTGTGCTTGTGACAGTACCAGAACACATGTCAAATGCAGCCACTTCTTGCCCTCATCAGGATTACTTTTCCAGCTGGACCAAGGCTCCTCTCCAGTCACAGTGGACTGGCCATGGCCCTGCCACAGTGCTTTTGCACATGCATCTCTCTTCCTTAGGGCTCTGTCTGGCGTCAGGCTGCCTCGGCCCAGTGGCGCTGCTCTCTCTGTCCATTTTATCACTTGCAATGTACGGAGAATGTGGTTGGGAGGAAGACAGAATGAGACATGTGCTGTCAAATACTCAGCCCATGCCTCATTCTAGGAAGCATTTAATAAGTGAGACCTGTTACGATGATGGTGATTTTCTCCCAGGTTCCAGTTTAAATAACAATTTTATGTGAGAAACCTTCTCTGACCTTCAGTGTGAAATAGGCCCCTTGCTATAGCATCCGGTTTGTTCCTCACTTGTCAAAACCCCGGTAAGTTATTATCCAGCATGTTGCCACCACTGAAAATGTGGGGCGCAAGGGGTAGGGACCATGCCTACCTCATTCCCGCCATGGCACAGTGCCTTGCACACAGCAGGCATTCAACAAATACTTGCACACAGGAATGAGGTTAAATGGAAAATGTGTTTTGAGGCCCCGATGAAAGATACTGCAGGACTACTAGTATAAAGGTAATAATGATTATATGCTACTTATAATTCTTACCAGATGATTCCTCCCCAGAGGAGGGAAAAGACAACGTAGAATAGCAGCGACCCCCAGATGACAAAGTGGTTTATCCAAGTCCAGTAGTGTGTATCTAATGCCAGCTGGAAGAAAAAAGGTGATGAGCAGTGGGATTATCTACATGTCACATGAGCCATGGCGAGGAAAGAGAGCCAGAAAATAATGAAACCAACCAACTAACCAACCAGTACCTTAATATACCTTAATTTTAGCCAAATGTCCACATGAAACTGCTCAAGGAAAACAAGCCCTTATTCTTCCAATGAAGATACAGAATGTGTGACGTCACGTCTTTGTAATCACAGCATTCCTAGTAACTCTCACCCGGATCCGGGGGAAACGCACTGGGAAGTGTTTCTCCAACAGCAGGGACTCGGCGGCGATCGCTTAAGGCACTGGCTATGTTACTACTAAGAAAATTACTTTTGGATTTTCTTTGTATCACTTTTTAAAACTCAGATTGATAGGTGTGGGGACTTCCATAATAATGTCCCATATAGAATTTGACTTTCAAAAGAGCTGGATTTTCCATAATGCATTGATTTCAGTTCAAGTGCATTTTTTATTATACTGGGGGGCAGGTGGGCTTGCCAATGAAAATAATTCGAATCCGAATCCTTTTACAAAGAAAAGGCTCACTGAGGGATGAGTGGGAAAGGTGAAAGGGATTGAGAAGTACAAATTGCCCGTTATACAAGTAGCCTTGGCTGTAAAGGACAGCATCGGGACTATAGGCAATCACATTGTAATAACTATGTTTGTTACGGGATGGGTATTAGACCTATGGGGGTGATCACTTCATAAGGTACATAAATGTCTAATCACTATGCTGTACTCCTGAAACTAATATAATATTGTATGTCCACTGTAACTAACACATAATTTAATAAAAAACAAATTAAAAAAAGAAAAGGCTCATTCCTGCATCTGCCTTCTGTATAATTCTGGAGGTCTGTGTACTGGATCGTGGGGTGAGCTGAGTCTACGTCTCACTCATTTGAATGGTGGTAAGAAGCCCCCTGACTGGGCCCAGGTGCTCATCTGGGCTGTGTGCTAGTGTGGATTGTAACTTGGAACAGATTTGTAGTTCAAAGACGGGGAGACCTACACACGCCGGGGTTAACCGTGGCCAGAAGAAGCAGCACCAACACGGGAGAATTTACCTTTAGTGTGACGGTAAACACCATCACAGTGAACACCAGCGTCCCAAAGGTCCAGTTTCCGAATATCTGTGGGGACAGAGTCCAGGCAGTCTTTTGTTAATACGCATTTCCCCCCTTTCACACTCAAACGAGAGTGTTTAGAGCATACATCTCATTGTTGTCCTGCGCCAACACTCCACACCCCCAAGATACAGGGACTAGGTCTTGTTACTACAAAGTGAAAGGAGATGGCAGTGAACACCCTGGGCGCTCACCCCCCGGCTCCCCAGTGCCATCCCGCAGGGCCAGGCAGTGACCGAGAGGTGGAAACAGCCCTTCCTACACTGACAGTCCTGTCACCCCGATACTGGCTCCCTCGGTGCTGTCAACACACATCAGTCCTAACGTCACAAACTGGGAGCAAGAAAAACACTGAAGAGCAGGTATTACATATGCATAATGCTAACTCTGGTTTTTCTGTTTCGAGTTTCATGTCGAAGCGACATTTACCCGATTACCCAGTTCTACGCCTTCTGCACGTTCAAGAATAAATCCAGTAGAGTTTCTGTCTATTCTCTTTCGGACTCAAGTCCAACACCTGCCTGCTTTGGAAGAAAAGCAAGCGCTGGAACATTTTGCCAGTAAGCAGCCAGTGAAAACCACGTCACGTATGTGCGACACATGGTTAGGATTTCCTCGGGAAAATCGCAGGAAAGGGAGAAATGAGGCAGACAAGACAGAGCTGCGTGAAGGCCCCCTGCAGCCAGTCTGATGGCCAGAACCACAGACATGTCAACAGTCCCTCAGAAGAGGCTGCCGAGAGGCGAGAGCAGGGAGCAGGGCTCCAGGCACCCGAGGACCCGGGCAGGCTGCCGGGGATGGTGTGGGATGGAAGCACTCACGGTCACATCATGAAAACAACACATTCCCACCTACAGACAAAGACACAAGCAAAATAAAACATCTGCTGCTGGAGACTTCTTCCCCTCAGGGGGCAATTCTAAGAGTAAGTTTCTTCCAGGTTTTCACACTAAGAACCTGCTGTGCCTGGTACTGCGAACCATGCCTCTGAGAAAACGTTGCTGTCCTTCTTTAACAGATTATAAAGCTTTATTTCACAACAAATTTAAAAAACTGGAATACAAATTTTCAACTACATGTGACTCCACTCAGGTGAATGTGTAGGCTACCCATCTTGTGATATATCTAGTGAGGTAAGAACACTGGTAGAATTCCAGAAGGAAAACTAAGTAACGTGTAAGGACTTGGTTGTAAACAGACTTCGTAAGGATCCTGCCCCCAATGAGCATCTCTTTACACTTTATCCTTTACTTCAGCACCATGAGCGAAACCGGGCTTCCGTCACTCGGAGCCACAATCACCAGTGGCTCTCAGTGGGGAGGGGGTGCGAGAATTCTGTCTCCAGGGGACACTTGCAGTGCCTGGAGACATTTTTGGCTGTCACCATGGGGGGGGGGAGTGGGGGGAGAGGTGCCACAGGCATCTAGCAGGCAGAGGCCAGGGGCCTGCTAATTGCACTGGGCAGCCCACAGCCAAGAGCTCTCTGGCCCCAGGTGGCAATTCATGGTCAGGCTGGGAAATCCTCAAAAATGTGTTCTCCCTTCAATGCTTAACTTCCGAGGCGGGAACATTTATAACTGAGTCTGGCTGCAGTTTGGCAGAGGACTACAACAATGATTGGCCAGCTGGGTGTTGGAGAGAAAGTGGCTCTGTTTTGTTTTCACTGGAGGCCGATGCTGTTGGCCAAAGTGAGGGGTGACCCTGCTGTAAGGCGAAGGGCGGCTTTGAATCCCATGCGGGCACCATGGGTGGGACCAGGCACACCCTGCCTGCTTGTTTTCCACCCCTGCTGGGCAGGAAACCTGGAACTCATTTTAAAGTGTTCAATAATAGCAAATTGTGGAAATGGAGTCGGCACAGAAGAGTGATAGGCTATCTCCAACAGCATCACAAATCAGGGACAAGCTTTCAGCCACTCAAGTGACTTCTTTATTTCTCTCTCTAGAGGGTAAGGGGGTACTTCTCTAGGGCACCGCCAGGTTTTCTTGTATTTGTGGATTATGGTGGACCTGGGATCTCAAATTAGGCATCCCGATGCCTAGTCCAGTAAAACACATGGGCCTCCGCTGTCATTTACAGGTGAATAGCAACAAAGCACAACTACCTTGAACCCAGAACTGAAAATTTGGTTGGAATCCTGGGCAATGCTGGGATCTGCTCCACCCTCACCTATGCTCTCTCGATACTTCTGGCTCTTTGGGATAGACAATCATGGTAACATCTCTAAATTCCTCTGAATTTTCTTATTTGTTTTAAGGAAGCCCTTAGGCTAACTGCTAATAGAAAACGTATTACTAAAATTGTTTGCCATTATTTCTATGGATTTTGTGGTGGGAGGTGGCATGGTTCACTGGGATACCAACCCTCTTTCTCAAAGAACTGTCTGGAGGGACCATCTTTTTTCAAGTTTCATTAGCTCCCATGCCCCCCAATAGCCTGATTTCCTAACTGCTATCTCCATTGAGAATGTCACTAACTTCATAGCCTCACTCAGATGATAATGAGAATTTCGTAGAATGTCTCTGGAGCCTGCCACTCCAACAGATCTACATTTAATCCCTTCTCCCACTTCTTCCTCTCTCTTCTGAAGATGGGTATTTTGCAGAAAATGTTCCTGCTTTTTAAAGCTCTAAGATCCAGACCAATTTAATTTTTATGCATACAAATATCCCACAACAAACCTGACTTGCATTTTTTTTTCAAGATCACAGCCTCAAGAAACACCTATTACATTTCCTTCATGCACAGATTCCGGATTGCTACCAAGTCTGCTGGCATAACTTGTCCTTGCTCCACTGGCTGGCGATGGCTCAAATTGCAGCTACCTGGATGTTTACTGACTTATATTATACCATGCTCTAAACTTTCAAGTGTTCACCTAAGAATACCCTGCTGTTCAACAATAATAATCATTGCCTTAGCATTCTCATTTGAGAAGTAATTATGGCTCATGACGTCTGTGCAGAAAATGCCCCTAAGTGAATTTCCCTTTTTCAAAAGTTATCCATGATTCTAGTGTTCTCTCAAAACTACATGTGTTTTATAAACATTCCTATAAAATGATTCAGTTCTTTAAAAAAGTGGTCCTCCCCTACTGACAATCAATAAAACAGGGCATCTAATTATACCACCAAGAAGATGCATTCTCGTTTGTCAGGACACACCATCAGAACAGTGATGAGCATTATCACCTCCACGCTGCCCTGCCACTTTAGAACCAAGGGCATCACCATCAGTCACCTGAGACTACTCCATATTTACTGGCATTTTGCAAGTTTACTTGAATTACTACAGAACTAGCCTATGATACTACTTTTAGTTCTGCAAGTGATCTAACACTCTTCTCCCCCAAACAAACAAAAATTTAAGCATCAACAATGCAGAATGAGAAAGGCTCCCTCTAGAGATGCCCAGACACAGTGTGTGTGTGTGTGTGTGTGTGTGTGTCTAGAGCTAACAAGCAGACATGCAGCCTTGGCCTTGCACTTGACCTGGAGTGGCCTTGGACTATGCCAATCTCTTGGAGCTCCTGTCTTCCTAGTGACACAGGTAAGTGTCCACACTAGGTCCTTTACACCCTTATCACTCATAATTAGGGATGCTATGAGTATTATTCATCTTGCTGTTATAACTCTAGGTTCTTAGATTATTTAACTTCTATAGAGCACTAGTGAATTGGAGCAAATTTCGCCTCTAAAATGCATAACTATAGACAGACAAACACCTCACATTAAATACCTTATTTGGCACCAACTGCCCCATGTACTGCTTCCTAATATCACTATGTGTCTCAGAACCTTTTCATATGACAGGATGTGCATTATGCGTGTTCAATCTTTGTCATGACAGGCCAGTGAGCAGAGGACTCTCACAGCTCTTGGCTAGTGAGTGGCAAGTCACCCACTAGGGATTTCTTAGTGGGAGTGGTACAGGTCAACTTGTGTTTTCTTTACCCTGGTCTCTCTTTCTGTCATTGTTTCAAATTCTAATAAACAGTTTTGTCCAATAATGGCTGAACAAAGGCATGCAAGTGGTAATTATGGAAGATATAAAAGTGCTGCAGAAAAGCATCATTCTAGAAGTTGAGACGTTAGTATTTAGGATCTGTAGGGGCTCAGGGTGTCCTTAAGGAAACAGGAAATAGGAGATAAGTCAAGAATTGGTAGAAATCCTTGGATAATATGCAAGGCCTCAAAACAGCACCGCATCCACTGACCCACAGCGGTATAAGGAGTGGCTGGTGGAAGTTTGGTTGGAGACACATCAGGGCTACTGGAATTTGAGCAGGAGGAGAAGATGCTGCTCAGACGTCACGTTGGCAAGGCCTCTCTATGGTCTGTACCTCAAAGCCCCACCACACTGGTCAACCAGCACTCCCTATAGGTTTTCAGGCACACCTCTAATTTTACTATGTAACACTGAGATTAAACAATTACTGGTAAGCAGCAGCATGGACTACAACAAATACTATAATTTCGTACCAAATATCCTGGGTTTGAGTTCTGATTACCTGACTTTGTATAAATTTTTTAACCTGTCTGAAGTGAAGTTTCTTCAACTATGAATATGTCCATGGGCGATGGCAGTTGAGAGAGGATAAGATTTGTGAACATGAACTGCAAATAAAGTGCCTGATGAATGGCACTTACTTCCATATCGGCTGGCTACCATGGTCCTGGAATTTCATCCTCAGGACACAGAAGCTTAGTTCTTTTTAAGATACATACAAGACGCTTACTTAAAGCGTAACCCATAAGGACAATCTTATAAAAGAAACATAAAGAACAATAAGACAGCTCTGTTTAATGACATTTATGGCCTGCTAGCATCCAGAAATTATTCAATTAAAATAAACTAAGACAAAGAACAAATTCCAGAAAAATGCAAAGTTTGTAGAAGAGTGAAAGAAGACTTTAAAAAATTCTCAAGATCAATTTAGTAAAAACTGGTTTACGTTATAATGAAAGAGAACTGCACCTTTTAGTAACAAGAAATGAGAAACAAATAAATGGGTAAACAAATTCTATGGGACCTGTAGCAAGAACTTTGGGTTTCAAGCCAACAGCTCTAAGAGATGAGCCACACAGGAGGACAACATAGGGAGAGATGTTCTGTCAAACAGGAAATGAAGCAAACTTCTGTTCACAAGCCACCCTTATTTACATCAAAAACAGTGTTTATGTTTAGGGCTAGGTAAATACGTAACATTCAGGTAGGGCACAATTCTGACATGTGCTCCATGTCTTTTGCAATTGTCCCAGGTAGCACGGGTTTGCCACATTCCAAGCGGTGTCCCCAACAGGCCCCGCATGCCTGCATACGTTGCCTCTAATTTATGGTAAAGGGAAGCTCAAACAAGTCAAACTGAAAACCGTCACTGACTCAGTGGCAATCCTGACACAGAAATCCAGAGATAAACACCAAGTACAAATGATCAAATGTACACAGACTTCTCTAATACAACTTTCGTCTACAGGAAGGAGAGGGGAGCAGCAGCTAATAGTGTTTCTACTGACAAAGCACACAGAAGAAGTCACAATTTGAAAATATTTTCAAGAAATATTTTATCTAGAATGCACTCCAAAAACATATAGAGGACACACCCACAATTGTCTTACCATGTGTGTGTTGGTAGTCATTATCTGAGAGTGGGAAGGAAAGCAAGTCGCAAAAAGAAAAAAATCAAGATACAAATAAAACAAACCCTAGAAATTATGAAACAACCAGAGAGCTGATGTCTATTAGAAACTATCAATCTACTCATTGCAAAGGAAACGGACACTTAAGGACATGTGAAAAAAAAGGGGAAAATGTGTTAAATATGAAATTCCCATATTAAATAAGCCATGCTTGGTGGATCTAACTGAACCGCTAGATAAATAATTAATGGTGAAATATAAGTTACAGAAACAAAGTCTGAAAACCCTCAGGAAGGGGATTTCCCACAGTAAGCCGAGTATGCGGAGCAGTGCATTTACTGACGTCCTATGACCTGTAAGCGATTTGGGAGCTAGAGACCCAAATATCAGGAGACCCCACAGGCTGTGCTGAATGACTGCACTGACCCCGGATCGAACACCAATCGAGGGTTATTCCCAAGCAGCCAAGTCAACAAGACCCAGTTCAGTACTAACCTGTCCATTGCTGGTCACAGATGCATTTTCAAACATGAAGTAAGCACCAAAGAAAAATACCAGAGCGTCAAATACTCCTAAGAATGTCCAGTAAATGAACACTCGCCAGCGGAGTAGAGCGTTCTTGGCGATATCTCTGTGGAAGGAAAACAGTGAGAACATAGTGGCTGCGTTCCATTAAAATAGGCCTCGGGCCAGGGACCCCGCTGTCTCCACTGTGCTCTGCAGTGAGCACCTGTGTCCACTAGGGGCCTCTAAGTCACTGGAGAGATTTCACAACCAGGGCACTGGCGTGGGCACCATCCACCCATCCTACGTGGGTGTCCCAGTTTTACAGAATCTCTCTGTATTCTTTCTTACAACCACATGTGAATCTAAAGTTTTCTGAAATACAGTAAGTTTAATTTAAAAAGCCATAAAAAACCCCAGTAACACAGACATATGCCAGACATCCTGAAGTGCAGTTCTGAAATAACAAACATCATTTCCTTGTTATTAAAACATACTTTTCAAAAAGCAGAAAAGAACACACCAAAATCAGATCTGTTAACTCCCCCCCCCCCCCCCCCCCCCTGAATAAAGCAGAGCATATGTGGTTTTTAAAGAATAATTTAGGTCATAGATGCACTGGGTTATAAGGGGATAGATATCCTTACCCCAGTCCTTTCGTAATTTATCAAAAATCATGGTAAACAAATAAAAAAAAATAAAAAGGCATGGTAAAGAAAACACAATATGGCAAAATACGAACTGGCTTAATATGTACATTTCAAATGCAACATAAATCTTCTATCTAAATTTGAAGTATAATCAGTCAAATTACATTGATTCTTGCATAAGGACTCCGGTAAAAGCAAGTGCATCAGCTGACACTGAATGTTTCCGGTTTTTAAGTAATTCAACCAGGCATTTATTTGGAGGCACCTCTCTGGCTACCTCGTTATTATTCTCCAAGCTCTAAAGCAAGTGTGCCTGCGGCTTCGTACCTGTAGAGGGAAGGGTCCCTCTTGAGTGTGTCCATGCTGACGTGCTGCTCCATCAGGCTGTACAAGAGAATCGGAAGGGAAGTGAAACTGATGTTGTACAGTGTCAGGTAGGCGGTGTCATACAGCGTCTGCAGGAAGGAGAACATCCACTGAAAACACCACCCGTGCACCTCGTTAAACTTTTTTGATTGTTTTGTTAAACATACATTTTTAATTTGCAAAGACTTTTAACATGAGCATTCTGAAATACAGACAGAGCCTTCTTTCTACAGATTTAGAAGGACCAGGACAATTTTCAAAGCTTCATGATGTCAACTAGTCAAGCTTAAAATCATGGCTGATAGAAGGCCCGACGGTGACCCACCCCATTTGGCCACTGCAAACTTGCACAAAAAAAGTTGCATAAAAGCTTGCAATTTTGATCGCCATCTTCAAGCTCCCATTTACCCCAGTGCCGGACCCTTCAGATGGAAGCAGGTGGCCACAGCCCATCTGAGCAGGACAGGAGAACAAGTGAGCGAGGGAAAGGAGGGGCCCTGACAGTCTCTTCTCCCGTCAGATGGCCTGCACACCTCTGCTCGGCACTTGAAAGTGTCAGAAGCCAATGAACTGTGAGACACCAAGACAGAATCTCAGATTTAGATTCAGTCCGTTCAGAAAGCCCAACACAGCTCTCCCGGGCTTGGGATAGGCAAGTTACTCACTGGGCCCCACGGGAGAGCCTGTAGTCAGCAGACGTGGGCCCCTCCACGCCACTCCTCTCCACCCGCTGATGGGCTGCTGCGGGCACTTGGGCCTCCCTCCCCATCCTGGCCTGATGCCTCTGCTGTCTACTCTCCCCCCACTGCAGCCACCCCCATGTGGGAGGGAGATAAGGCTCAGGGGAGCGTCTGACTTAAGACATTAGGACTCACCTGCTGTGAAAACCCACAGAAGAACTGGTATAAAAACTGAGGGAAAATGAAGCAGACATTCTGAAAGACAAGTCACATGCCTGTTAGTTCAAGGGCACATTGGAAGAGGCAGCCAACCTCCCCCAAGGCTGTCCACGGGACACCACTTTATCCGGGGAAAGTGACCCAAAAGTGTCCTACGTTCCCATAGGAGCAGGTAATGGGCTTTGCATTTTTTTCTCTTTTTTAATAGCACCTACAGTGCATATGTGGCCATGTCTCGTAACTCTGAGAACAGATAATGTAAAAGCAAATTTGTTGAAGAGATAGGAGGGAGTGTTGTCAGTGTAAACAGGAAAGAATCAAATTGCATAATGAATAAGGAATTAGTTCAAGGAATCATAAAAGAATGCCCCTTTCTCATTCATTTTACAACTGGTATCTTCTTATTGATTCCACATGAAATTGTGCGAATGGGAGGAAAGCGCTAGGATCAGCCCCTTCCTTGCTGACAATTACTTCTATTTTTACATAAATCACCCCTTAAGGCAGTGGTTCTCAACCTTCTGGCCCTTTAAATACAGTTCCTCATGTTGTGACCCAACCATAAAATTATTTTCGTTGCTACTTCATAACTGCAATGTTGCTACTGTTATGAACCATAATATAAATATCTGATATGCAGGATGGTCTTAGGCGACCCCTGTGAAAGAGTCATTCGACCACCAAAAGGGTCGCGACCCACAGGTTGAGAACCGCTGCCTTAAGGCATCTGCCAAATGTGTCATTCCAACGCGGGTAGTATATTTCACCGAAACAGTGACAGGAGCAAGGAAGTACTTCCTACCTTATAAAAGAAGTATTGCACAAGCTCAGATATCCTAATGTAATAATAATGCCCATGAACGAGTAGCATCTTCTTTAAATGCTTAAATTTAGGTATTGCATAGTCACTGTTCCTTGCAGCCTGACGACCTTCCTTTCCAATGACACCTATAAGAAGAGAATAAATGTGCTGAGTACACACTTTCTCAACAACATGCAAGTGAAAATGGGAATAAGAAAATAAGGTTAGATACAACCATGGCTGTGAGATTTCTCAGTCATGAACGTACGAAATCCCAGATGCTGCCCTGTGTCATCTGAAGCCTATGATCTTGCCTTTGGCTGTATCCCCTTCTTGTCTAGCTGAAGTGATAAATCTCAGTTACCAAGATGCGCAGGAAATAAAAAAAGAAGAGGCTTACCTATGCCCACATGGGCCTCCAGGATCATGCTGACATCATTTGCGCCATCACCGATTGCTAATGTAATAGGGTGCTCTTTTGAAAATTTGATTAATTTAACAATCTGGAAAAGAAATACAGAATTGATCTTCTCTGTTTTACTTTTGATAAGGTTAATCATTAACTAAGTATAAATAAGGAAGATATAAGTTAGGTAAGAAAAATGAAAAAATTATTTACTTAGGCAGGGGTGGGGGACCTTTTTTCTGCCAAGGGCCATTTGGATATTATTTATAACATCATTTGTGGATCATACAAAACTATCAACTTAAAAATTAGCCTGCTATATTTGGTCAAGCATTTAATTAACTCACCCCTAATGCCTTGGCGGGGCCAAACCAAATGATTTTGTGGGCCTTATACAGCCCATGGGCCGGATGCTCCCCACCCCTGGCTTAAAGTAAGTGTACTACATTCGATCTATTTTATCCATATACGATATATTTCATATTGAAAGAAAAACAAAATAAAGCAAAAGTAGCTAAGGTTTGATTACAGTGAGATAAGTAGGAAATGGCTGGTTAGCAACCTGAAGACAGACATAAAATAGATGAAGTAGTTTTCAGTTACAGCTACACTCACATATTTAAACAGAAGGGAAAGTATATTTAAATATAAAAAGAAAAATCTGAACATTGGATTCTATTAGAAAATATTACTATTCCAAACTATTTGTTATCTAGCATCTACTTTTTAAAATAAGCTATTCTTAATGCTATTTTAATTTTCAAACTTGTCATGTGGGTAAAAACAAATCTGACAGTCCAATGCAATGAATAATTTCCAAATGTTTTAGCCAATTTCTTGGGACTCACTATTTTCCATTCATGTGTCTAAATGATGGTTTGAGATACAGAAGTAAAAAGAAGAGGGGAAAAATGTGTAGATTGCCTTCTTTGTTTCAAGATGAGAGACTGAAACAAAAATTAATTTGTATAAAAGTTTGTTAGACTCGGTTCAGAGATGCGTTTATATATAGTGCATATAAGGTTTACATAGAATCAGACACATAAGAGGGCGGTAGGGAATAAAACCATTTTTTATCTTAGATAGAATGTATATGAGTTTTCGAGTCTCAGCTTGTCCTCACAAAGAATTACCCAGGGAGGTCGAGTCCTATATTCTTAGTAACACCGCCACTTAACAGATTAGTGTAGTTCACGTGCGAGGATGCTAGACATGACCTCTTTGCATGTGATTTTCAGTACTTCACCTTAACCCACTGGGTTAGTCTGAGCTGTTACTGTTTTCTTTCATGAATCATTCACAAGAAACTGGTCTAGTGTATCTAAAATGTGGTTTAACAAAATTGGAACTGTTGTAGTTTGATATCAGAAAGAGATCTATGTTCACATATGTATGCCATAATGCTTTAAAGAGTATTTTTTAAAAAACCATCAGGTGTGTGTTTCCACAAGAATATGTTGCAGTGGGTAGAACATGAGTTTGGAGTCCGACAAACTGGAAACCAAATTCTGGCTGTAATTTTCCAAATGCCTCCTTTTAGAAACATCACCCTGGTTTTCTGCACCTCAGGTACTTCATTTGTAAAGTAGATTAACATCAGCCATCTATCAGGCTGATGCTGAAGGTGAAATGGGTTCATGTGACTGGCTCAGTAACGCTGAGGTCACAACGTCTGCCTTCCGTGTGCGTTCCTATCAGTGATTATACCTGTGTGTGCGGTTTTATTTTACAAGACAAGTCAGTCAGAGACATCTCTCCTAGAAAGGGGCATCCATTTGATTCAGTGAACCCGTACTAATCACAACAAGCAAAACAAGATCCATGTTTTAAATTTCTATCACATTTGCTTCTATGTAAAAACGGTGGTACTTTGCTACATTTCAAAAGAAATAATCAGTGGTTATGACAACTAGTGAATGGCTTTCAGTATTTAAATACCCGTCAATCTATAATAAAAAAAGTAATATGCAAATTAGACTGGACAACCTCCCGGACGAAGCCAGGGCTGCGAGGGAAGCCCGGGTCCCGGGTGCCAGAGGGAGGCTGGTGCCAGCAGCCAGGGGAAGGAAGGCCTACTCTTGCACGAATTTCATGCATCGGGACTCTAGTTACTAGATAATTAGAAGGGACAGGAGCACGGACCTGGGCCTTCTGCAGAGGGGCCATCCGGCAGCACAGCACGGCGCTGCAGTTCCGGCAGATGTTCAGGAACAGTTCTCGGTAGTTGCTGCAGCTGCCATCTTCACGGGGTTTCATTATTAAAGACAGCGCAGCTCCATCAATAATTAAACCATAGTCTTGCATATCTGTTGAAAGTCTGTTAATGACACAAATCAGAGAGATTCCTCAATAACTAAGTTTATAGGTTTTAGAAGACCACATAACTTTCTTGAATATCTAGAGAGGCTACAAATCCATGATCAAGAGATTACAAAACTAGTACAGTAACCTGATGTTGTCAATAGGTTCTGCGGCTTTAAGCCAAACGATATATAAGGAAACTGATTTTACCATAGGCTGATGTACACAAGAGTTAAATTCCCATGGTGTCTCATCAACGTTATAGCGAAACAGCACTGAATGAAATGATGTTATTCAAGGACCTGCTTTACAGTAATTCCTCCCTTATCCTCGGAGAATACTTTCCAAGAGCCCCCAGTAGTTGCCTGAAAAGGCAGGTAGTACCGACCTATATACACTATGTTTTTCCCTATACATACATACTTCTGATGAAGTTTAATTTATAAATTAGGTACAGTAAGAGACCAACAACAATTAATAATAGAACAATTATAATAATATACTGTAATAAAAGTTATCTGAGCAGGGTCTTTCTCTCTTTGTCCCTCTTGTGGATACACTGGACAAAGGGATGATTCACACTCCAGGTGGGACGGAGAACGGCTTGAGACTTCACCATGCTATTCAGAACAGTGCACAGTGAAAACTTGTGAATTATTTCTGGTATTTTCCATTAATACTTGCTGACCATGACCACAGGTAACTGAAACTGGGGAAAGCGAAACTGTGGCTAGAGAGGGACTGTTGTATTTCTTGTTTTATCAATATGGTCTTTAAAGTACTCAATGTAAAGCCTTTGACTAAATTTTAAAATTGTGTTTTAATTAAACATTCACATTTCTCTAGGCAAAGCAAACACACAGTTCTAACTGTGGATTCATGTGTGTGTCCCAGTACTGCCCAACCATAGAAGGAAAGCATTTATCTTGCAGTCTGAAGAGGTCAGTCTTTATTCCCAAACTTCCTGGCCACATTGGCCACCCTCAGTCTTTATCTTCACAGCTAATATCTCCTTGGTATTATGCCTGAATGACCTGCATTGGGAAGAACATGGTTATAATATTTCTCTTTGCTGGTTTTCAAAATTATAAGGAACATCTCTAATTCCCAAAAGGAACTCTGAAGACTGGTGAAGGGAAATAGCTTTGTACCACTTATGAACACTTTAAAATTTGCATATGATCAGAGAGCTGCTTTTGCTTTACCTACATTAATGACAACCTAAAACGATTCAAATAAAATCTATTCTTAGATCGTGCAAGTAACACCAGCAAGGACAACATTAATAAAATGTATCAGAATAAATTCTGAGTATTCTTGGAAAAAACCCAACTCTGGAGCATATATTGTTTTGTCTTAACAGACAAGCAATCATGTGTTATTAATATTTCTTTCCCTGGTCTGGCAGATGCCCTGAGGAATCCAAAGTACCGTCTATCCTCCCCCACCCCCCACCCCAAGTGTTTTAGAAACAGATGAGAATGCGGCCAGTGTGGCTCAGTCGTTGAGTGTCAACCCATGAACTAGGAGGTCATGGTTAGATTCCCAGTCAGAGCACATGCCCGGGTTTCAGGCTCCATCCCAAGTAGGGGGCATGCAGGAGGCAGCCGATCAATGATTCTCTCTCATCATTGATGTTTCTCTCACTCTCTCCCTCTCCCTTCCCCTCTCTGAAATCAATAAAAACATATATTTTTTAAAAAGACACATGAAAATGATCCCATTCACAGTATTTTATAAATCAATCAATCAAGTATTTTGTATCCTTTAACCAGCAGTGTGAAAGTACACACACACACACCCTCTCTTATGCACACCCTCTGTGTAAAAAGACACGTTACAGTTGATAAAAAGAAATAGCTCTGCTCATGTTTCAGGTGATCCCTCTAACCACACGGATGCTGTTACTGATGGGAGGGCAGAACCACATTCCCAGCACGGGCGCTGAGGCTCCCCTTGCCAACGGAGGTCACCTACCCTGAGAGGTTGTCCCTGGTTAAGCTGCCGTTGCAGCGCAGGACAGTCTTACTCAGCTCAAACAGGACATCATGTAAACTCTGCTCCTCAATTTTCTTGGTGGTTAGTTCAAGCAGCTGTGTGTTCCTCCTGAAAAGTTTGCAGGCGTAGCAGGTGGCTGCCGCCGTCTCCATCTTGTCCCCGGTGAGCACCCAGACTTTGATGCCGGCCTTCTGCAGAGCTTCTATGGTGTCAGCAGCTTTCTCCTGGAGCCTAAGGACCCAAAAACGAAACAACAAACGCCAGGGCTGACAAAGGCAAATCAAAACAAACCATTTCAGAAACTTGTGACCTGTTAAAATATTTTAATAGGCCTTCAGAATTAAAAAGCACCATCGCGCTGACTCATGGTCTTATGGTAAAGTGCCCGAACCTGTCTTTAAAGTGTATTAATTTTTTACCCCCCGCCCCCCCGCAACTAAACACTTTCTAATATCTAGTAGATAACATGGATAAAATATCTAGAAGCAAGGGTCCCCCCCAACTAAACACTTTCTAATACCTAGTAGATAACATGGATAAAATATCTAGAAGCAAGGGCTGTCTTGCATTGCCATACACCAGCATGACTGTTTTGGTCTAGCTGGGACTCACTATCCGGAGAGGCTTTAGGCAGCTGTAGGAAAGATCATATAGCCATCAACAACAAAAAGTCTAACCCAGCGAAAAATGAGATCTGGAAAAGAGATGGTCAGTACTATTCATTATCTTTTCTTTTGGCAAAAACTGTTCAAATTTTGCCTCTTATCAAACTGGAGCCCAGGTTGCTGTAAACCAGGTAACACACTGACAATGTTAGCAGAGATTCTATGGCTAGCAGGGATCACAAGCTTCCCAGTGTCAGCTGCTATGTGAAGCCTTTTGTGTGACATTTCACTTTTATAACCAACGTAAGGGCTGAGGATTTGACCACCACCCCATTTTACGTGTGGAAAACCCAAAGCTTGCAGAGGTTACAAAACGTGTCTGAGGGTAAACGGCTCTCTTGACATTGGTCAGACCGTCTCGCTATCCATGGGAGTCTGGCATCAAAACCACGCTTGCCTCCTTTGGGGGGCCTAGCATTTTTCTTGGTTTTAGGGTCTTAGGTTTTGATAGGCGTGTGGAGTAACGTTGTGTCAATCTGCCAAGCACTGCAGAGAAGAAATGGATTCAGATTCTGACTGGAAAGATTTGGTTAGATGTTGGAATCATCCTCTAAGGTTGACCACACAATCATAAGTATTCTAGAGAGAGAAAAAAATCTCTAATTTCACCTTTTTTTTTTTTTAAGGAAACTGAGGCTGAGGGTGGTCTGCAAAGAGGCTGGCCAGAGGTTTTAAAGATGTACACAAATATCATCACTTCAAAGCCACTGGCCCTATATGTGCCCACCCACACCAGTATCTATTATCAATATTTTGATGTCTCAACTCCCCACTGACTCAGTCTGCTCCACAACCTTCTTGAGGGGCCCCTGCACATCGGCTCTGCTTGCTTGGTTCCTCCATCCGTAAGAGCCTTCCACTTTCCCACCACTTCCTTCCAGGCCCAGGCCCACCCCCCGCCAGGCAAAACCACCCTACAGAGTATCTCTCTCCTGCCGAATGCACAGCTCCGTTCTATGACTGCCGTTCCACGCTGTAAACCTGTCCTGTGCATGTTATGCTTCCTCATGTTTATATTTGTGTCCATACCTGTTATACTCTGGACTGAATGAGGAAAGGAACTAAAGAAACAAAAACAAACAAACACACAAAAAACCCAAGCAAACATGGAACAAACTGATCAGTCTCAGAGGGAAGGTGGGGGTGGACAGGTGGGAAGAGATTAACCAAAGAACTTATATGCATATATGCATAACCCATGGACATGGACAATAGTGTGGTGAAGGCCTGGAGTTGGGGCGGCAGGGGAGGACTGGAAGGGGTCAATGGAGGGAAAAAGAGTACATCTGTATTGCTTTCAACAATAAAGACTAATTTAACAAACAAAAAACAAATCCAAACAAACCCAAAACTTCCTGCATTGTCCAATCTCATACTATTGAGATTGAGATCGCAGTAAATGCTTGTTAAAAACATGGAAAAACTGTAGGTTTCGGGTTAAGGATTTAAATTTTGGACCAGTATATAGATATTAAAGACTTCCAACCTTTATAGGAAATAAAATCTCAGTAAATGTATTGAAGCTTCTATTTCATTCTTTTAAATTGGAATAATTTTTTCTTTTCCATTTCTTTACTGTTCTCAGCGGGCCCATGGCCATTTCTTAGTGCATTAAGCCTTAAGTAACTTTTAGCTCTTGTTTCAGACTTGTCACAGATTAGAGGCTCTTTCTTAAGAAGCATTTGAAAACCTGTAATCAGTAATTTTACCAGTTCTTCTTATATGATTTGCAATATTCCCCTTGATTACATTGAGCATGTTAAGACCTACATTTTTACACCTGCATTTAGAAAGAACTAGTAACAAATTTAGACACATATTAGTTATTGATTCCATTCTAAAGAATAATTTTAAAAATTAATCCTGTAAGATATCTTGACTATACATAACATAATTCAAAAATGCTGACTAATTCTGGTTTCTTCTGCGAAAGTGTGAATTCAGGAATCTTATTCATGGAACGTAAAACATCACCCAGTCGTGAGTTTCCTGTGATAGCATCTCCCCCCCCCGCCCCGGCAGGCAGTCGGACAGTCTGTCTCTTCCGACCTGTGAACACGGGCCTTCCGTGTGGCTGACGCTCTCCTCTGAAGCACCCGTGAGGCACCAGCGTTATTTCTGGAGACAAGGCGTAGTGTTTACTTACTGATCCTCAACGGCGGTAGCACCAAGCAGAGTAAGATCTTTCTCTATCTGCTCACAGGCTTCTGCTAATTTCTTTTCTCGATCTTGAAGGGCCATCTTGCAAGCCTGTAGCAATTTATAGATGCCTTCATATTCTTCTGGGCTGAGCCTTTTGTAGGCAACGCACAAAGTCCGGAGCCCCTCCTATGGGAGACAATGCATTCCACGTGAATTTCAGGGTCACTGTGCCAAAATATCATTTTTAAATAGCTTTCTTGATGTTTCCTTTCTCTAATTCAAATTACTAACCAAAGAATTCTAAACCAACCAACCGTAAAATGGGTTGACCATTTACAACTGCATTATTCACGTCTACATCAAATATAATCATTACAGATTACAGAAAAAAGTCAAACTAGTAAGCATGGGAATAAATTATAAAATCAGGGCCATCCAAAGATAAGACTTTGTTCTTTTATTTTGAAAAATGAAGAGTTAAATTTTTTTTAGGGTAGTAATTTGCAATTCTATGGTGAATACCAAATAATATTTCTAAAGTGAACCTTTTTTACATGGGAGTTTGTAATTCCATTTGATCTCATGCAGCACTTGCTGAAGGAAGCGGCTAGGCTATGTATCAAACCCACTGGGTCCACAGGAGAGTGAAATAAAAATCTAGGAATAACAAACTCTCTGCTGTGATCGTAATTCTGGACGTCACCACACACAGAGAACGAACGCACCACCCCAGCCAGCGAGGCACATGCAGAACACTGGATCCCATCCATGTGTTAGCGTGGGGCTTTCACAGCAGGAATGTGCCTGTCCCTTCCTCTCTGCCTGGCAGGATGGCTACAGGGAGATGGTCTTCTGCCCCTCAGAGAGAACATTAGCAGATTTCCAGGGGCTGAGAGAAGGCTCGTGGCATAATCTGCAACAAGTGAGCATGTTCCCCTATGCACTGTGGGTACACAGAAGGCCTGATGAAAAGTTTAATGTCAGAAAGCCAAGTTATTAAAGAGTTGAGAGAAAAGTTTAAAACCAGTTATAAGAGAAAGGGACCACCTGGTTAAGAAATGGGCCAGGGAGGGGGAAGTCTTATACCCTTTTCTGCAGGAGCCCCTAGAGCAGGAGACATAATGCCATAATAGTACGCTGTGGGAACCCTGAGTTTTAAAGTCTGGGTTTTCCTGATGCCCGGGCAGCGTTGTTTGGATAGAACACATGGAATTCCATTTTGGCTCCATGAACTTCCTTTCATTCAGATATGACTTGCGTCTAAAGGAGTGGGAGGGGTGCACGGGAGAACCCGGGGGGAGAGAACACCCTCTCCCGTCCTGGGCAGAGACCCCAGGGTTCAGCAACAAGCGTCCCCTGTCCAGAGCCTACCCCACTGACTTCTGTGGTTACCAGTGTGGCCGGTGTCACACAGCCATCTGGCCACAGTGGGAATGGGCCTCGCTGTCATTTCAAATATGGTTTTGAAGGGACTTGCAGATGGGGCTGCCCCCTCAGGGGTCACCTCGCACACCCTGTATTAAAACTCGTCGTCTGTAAGTGGGCTACATTCAGCACGTGTACACTTAAGTGCTTAAGAGAAGTACTTCATCTTCTATTCCAACAGGCTCCTCACCTCGGTGGGCAGCAGAAATTGTGCCATTGTCATTTTCATGATCCCATACACAAAAGGTTCCATAATCTTAAACCTGCAGCTCATTTACTGATTCCTGCTGGTTCCGCGGCAGCTGCTTTGTTGGACCAGTAGGTGTTACTCGGCGCTTTAATACGAAGTGGAAGCCAAAGGGTTTGCACATGGCAGCCACACTTAACAGAGTTTACCGCTGCAGCAGCTGCTGCCGGCACGCATGGTCTCAGCGGAAGAAGCATGCTTCTCGGACAATATACACATTTAATGCCACAATATTTAGAGTCAAGCAGGGGGAATGTGTCTACGAAGAGCCACCCATCACTGGCTTACAGTCTGATGTGGAGGGGAGGAGAGGGGCCCTGTGTCAGAGATGCACCGCTTGTCCCACACCCACAGCAGACCTTGGCGAGAGGGAACTGGAGCCTGGGGTGGGAGGTGGAGGGTTAGGGGGAGCTCGAAAGCTCAGATTTGCCGACAAACTGAACAATATTGAATTTATAGGGCAGACTATGCTTCAGAATGAGAGGTGGGAAGAAGACTAAACAGGTGAAGACCCACGGAAAGCCTAAGAGCTGACTGATTTTTGAAAAGGAATCATTAGAAATCATTCAGCATAAAGATCTTTCTCCAGTATAATCACCACAAATGTCTACCAACAATCCCACAATCATCTACCAACCAACCCAGCCCCACCTCAAAATAAAAGGAAACAAAACATGCAACAGGCTCCTGAGTCCACCTGCTGGGGGTGGTACCCAGGTTGGAACACTACCCGTGTGAAAATCAACGGGGATTTTCCAGGTTGTGCACACGTGGTCCATTCGGACTTTTAGTGTGTCTCTTAAAGCCACGTGGCATCCTCAGTGGGAGTCTTTCCTTCCTGACCCGGGAGAACCATGGGACCCGTGCCCCGGAGCCTCCATCTCACCACAGCATTCCGTTCCACTCTGGCTCGGATCTGGTCGACTTTGCCTTCTATTACTCGGGGAAATATTGAAGAATCTGCTCCTTTGCAAAAGAGAAAAATTTCTCCTAGACAATGAGAAGGAAAAAAAAGATGTTTGATTTAATCACAATTTGGGGAAGACTAAATTAGTTTTCATATTATGCTACTAAGAAACAAAAACAGGGATACCAGTGCTGAGACTGTTGTAAAGGAGATTTCAATAGATCAGCTAACATGTAAAGTCAGGAAAACATTAAATCTACAGATCACCCCAAAGCCTCATTTTATCCTTACGACCCTAGAAATCTCCTAGGAAAGCCACAAACAAGGAAAACAAGTGGCTCCGGGGTGCCCTGCCTCCTGTCACTCTGCCTTCTCTCGGGTTAGGATGTGAGTGAGCAATGAAATGACCCTGGGACCAGGAGGGGGTAAGGAAACGAAGGGTGTGGCTGGCCCAGAAGTGGGGATAACAATTTGTGAAATACTAGGAGGTAAATGTCAAAACCCAGTAGAACGCAATGCACTTTGACGTAGAATACAACATCTGAGTCACCATCAACCAGAGTTACAAGACATGTCTGTTTTATCATTGTGGCCACCTTCCAAGTAATGTCCCAATTACTATGCACATATTTGTACTGTAGATGCAAGCTCCTCGTCCCTCAAGATCAAACCATTTTCCCTTCCAGATAAGTAGGGGGACTCTCTAGTCTATGACAAAAGGAGGTAACAGAGACAGAGGCACCAGCCCTGAAAGACAGGCCCCTCGGACGGGGAGGCTCCTGGCCTGCAAAGCCACGGGGCCCTTTGCCAGGTGGGCTTTGCTGATATTCAGCTCATGGAGGGAAAAGCTGGGGCGGCCCGTCACAGGCTGCAGGGCTTGAGAAGGGGCACTGCTGTCTTCTTATTTTTCTTCAGACAGAAAGTTCGAATGCTGAGCTCCCTGGCCCGGGGTTGATCCCTAGGAACCCTGGATGTTGACAGCCCTCAGAAGTACATCTGGGAAACCCAATCCAGAGGCACCAGGAGAAGCCGGCAATGGTCCCACCACAGCAAGTCCCCAGGTGGGGCGGTCAGGGAGGGGCTGTGTGCAGGGGCTAGGGGGACCATACCAGCTGGTGCACACGGGGCACCCACCCGGGCCCATTCATGTACTCAGCTACAGTATGCATAGTGCACCTTGGCTTATTTCCTTGGTCCCAGAAAGAACTAACTCCTGGGATACACACAGTGAAAACATTAAAAATACAGCACAATTTATGCTCACACAAGTCATGAAATTAAACCAAGGGTAACGTCAACCTCTGGCCAGAAAGGATGGTGTCTGGTGATGTCTGTGTTGCCAGCACATGACCTGAGCTGTGGCTGAGCAGAGGCTGGGACAGACCTGGGAGCACGGCCAGCCACACGGAGCAGGAATCCACCAGAGCAGGAAGTCCCATCCCTAGAAGACGCCCATGCGACTGCCCAGGTCTGTGACCTGGAATTCTTAGTCACATACCAACCACCTGATGTCAGAATTCATTCCCGTCTGCCAGACAATTTCTAGCCAGTGTTTCTATGTCATCAGATACAGCTTGGAGCAAGAACTGTAGTCCAGATGACATAAAGATACCTCCTTAAACAATAATACATTTCTTTTTCTAGGAAAATCATGGTGACTCATAGTAATGGCTTGTAAAAGGCTTAAATTCTTTACTGTCTCAACTTGTTGATTCCTCAGTGCCCACTTTAGACACGGGACAAGTTCAGTCTTAAGATATGGGTGAGGAGAGACTTGGATTAAAAAATATCCACAATATAAAGCAAAATATAATCTTCAAACGACAAGAGCAGATACTATTTGGCACCAGCTTTAGACCTTCTTTTCCAAGTTTGTAAGCAAGCAGGCAGCTACTAACCCAGAGCGGTGCATACACGGGTGATAAATAAGATATTCAGCACACAGGTGAGGTGATCCTAACCTGCAGCAGCTCACACAGGTGACCTGATGCTAAGCTACAGAAGAGCCTGCTGTGGGACGGAGCTCAGCTCTGAGGGCTGTAGCACACACTTCTCAGCGGAGAGCTCTCAGCAAGAAATTCAAGTTGTTAACTGGCTGTCATGGCCGATAGTCTCCAGTCTCCCCTAATGGAGTCAGGGGTCCATTAAGCTGTAAAACCAGTGCAATCAGTGTCATCTCCGGGGAGGTGTTACTAATTAGAGAACAACTTGTTGAATTAAATATTCAAACTTCTCTTACAATGAATTGATGCAGTGGCCAGGTCAGATGGCATGACAGTCTCCCCTCTAAGCCCACAGTTCCTCAAAGATGCCTTCGGAAATACATAGATATCCCGTGGAAGAGATATTCTAATGATGTGGATGCCTTGGGCATAAATTCTTAATGTGACCCCGCTCCTTTTCAAGCTCTCGTGATGCCCTTTTTGATGGTAAATGGAAGTTGTTAAGGAAGATTCCGAGGTACATCCCGTGGGTACCAGCACTGTGACCATGCAGGTCAGGAGAATGCATAGGTGGGGCAGGAGACGGTTTGTGGTTAACGGATGCACTGCTTCCTGAAACTGTGATCATTACTGCAGGCTCAGGGCTGCTGCATGATTCAGCTCCTAGACTTCACATTTGTAAGGGGGAAAATATCAAGACAAAAAGATTTCCACAATGCAATGCCTTTCTTTTGGAAAAATCTGAATGGCTTCAACTCGCAGGAGAGTCCTTCATTTGTGCACAGTGAAATAACTGTCTGCACTTGGGCAAGCGTTAGCACACTGACCTGAATTGTTTCAAACATCATGATGTGTCTGCTTCCCATGTCCTGCTGATCCTACTGGTAAAATCTCTGTTTCCATGTGTATGGGCAGTGTTCATAATATAAACTATTTTATGTCCCATGATATTTAGGGCAAGTCTCGCTAGTGGAGCCCACTCTTATCCACGTAGGATAAGCTGGTTCAGAGGGGAGGGAAGCATGTGGATAAGAGCTTTGGCCCGGCTGGCACAGCTCCGTGGTTGAGCATTGACCTATGAACCAGGAGGTCATGGTTAGATTCCCAGTTGCACATGCCCGGGTTGCAGGCTTGATTCCTAGCAGGAAGCGTGCAGGAGGCTGCTGGTCAATGATTCTCATCATTGATGTTTCTCTCTCTCTCTCCCTCTTCCTCTCTGAAATCAATAAAAATATATTTAAAAAAGAGAGAGAGAGAGATCCAGCTCTATGACAGCCAGCCCAGCTCCCAGGACAGCTGGGGCACTGCCACCAGGCTCAGCATCCAGCACATGGAGCTCCACTCTGTGAAAAATATCGCACAGGCCTTCGGCAACCTCCATGGTCTTAGAGGAGAAAACAAGGTATTGCTGGTTCTATCAGAAGATAGTCAGAATGGCTCTGTTTAATGAAAGGTACTTTGTTTATTTACTCCCCGTTGAAATGAAATTCTCTCCACATGAGTGTTAGATAAGCACTGACATAAAATTCCCCAGCATGCCCTCAGGTCACTATTTTAGGCTGAGTCTGTTTAGTTGTAGGGTAGTGGCTGCATTTGGTTTCTCATCAGGCAACTTTCCAAAGAGATAAACATACCCTGGTATTGCCTAGTTTTAAGAAACCAAATAGAACAAGATCCCACATCTCTTGATAAAATGCATTTTGAAGGTGCATTTGTAAATTGAACTTAGCAGTATGTATTGAGCAGTTACTGGTAGTGCTGTGGTGGACATACTGCTGAGAAAAGCATCGGTTCTGCATTTAGGATGCTTGCAGTCTAGCCAGGTCAGAAGACAAGCAGCTGATCTGACTGAGGCAACCAGGACAGGCTTCCTACCAGGTGGCTGTTGAGCTGTCCTTGGAACAGTTCAAACGAGCAAGAGGGCTCCTAAGTGTAAAAGTCCCCACCAGGTAGAGAACTTCAGGTAGAAAACTCCCCACCAGGTGGAGGGCCTCCCGCTGAAACAGTCCATGCTGGTTGCTGGGAATGAAAGCTAGGAAGGCAGCTCAGGGCTCCCACGAAAAGACCCTGGGAAGGTGTGTCGGCCTGATACCGAACAGGAGTCACCAGGCCCCGCCAGGACAGTGAGCGCTCGAGGGCCTTAAGAAGATGGACATGGTGGCAGGATGATAGGAAGGCAGAGACTGCAGATGGAGACCTTGGAAAGCAGGAGCTGTGTGAAAGGACTGAAGGAAGGGGGAGGAAGAGACACTGGGGAGATGGGCTCTGCAGGCCTTGTCGTCAGCCTAAGGTGCCTGGGAGATAAACAGGAACACGAGGAGCTGAGGAGTGATGTCACCTGCAGTGGGTGTGAGAGGCTGTGCGACCTGCAGGGCGTGTGTGGAGCTGTGTGACCTACAGTTGTTTCATCTACGTGTTGTTTTTTTAAAAAAGAGAACAGTTAAATCTTTAAAGCTCCTGAAGAATGTGAGCATCAGAATAAAACACAAGCACAAGGTATAATTTAAGACAACAAAGAAAAATAAATTTCTACCTGTATCAGATTTTACAATTACACTCATTCTCCTTCTTACTGAGTCAAAACTCAAAATTTCCAGCAATTCAAACCTGAAAAATAGATGAAAATTTGTCTTTAGTACCCATCTGGCTCTGTATGTCATAAACTCTGGGTATTTATCAGCCTTTCCACAGAGGAATGTCTGGAGCAGTCTCTCCCCACCATGCCCAGGGCTTTGAAAAGGTCACCTCCATCCATGCCCCACCCCACCTCTGCCTGGAGGGCACCGCTGATAGCAGCTCTCTGGGGTTGGGGGGATGGGGGGAGGGAGAATCTGGAGGTAGGGCAGTTTCCTCCAGACACATGGGAATGTCTGGATTCATGTGACTGGTGATCTGCTCCACGCTGCTGCCACCAGTGCTCATCGGGGACAGAGGGCAGCTGAGGCCGGGCTCTCATCTCACCACTAGGATCCTGGTCTTGGATATCCGCCTCCCACCCCCAGCCTGCATTACAAGTGCTCATGGAGTTTGTGCATCAAAAAAACTATCTATCTTATGTGCTGATTCACCTTCCTAAATTCTGTTGAACACAGATCCACAGGTTGTATTGGAGCTTTTGATCCCTGAGAATAAACCAGTGTCCTTTAAATTCATAAAAGTCATCAGAAGACTCATGATTTCTGTCTGGAGTTTGAAACTTTGAAAACAGCTGAGCCACCGCTGACATTACCTCTGAAAACTCCTCAGGGTCTAGAGACTCCAGCCAGTGGCTCAGAAGTGACTGTGAAACTTCTGTGCTGTCAATCCCCACTCACAAGCTGAGGAAGGGGTTCAGAACTGGCCTCCCCAAGAGGTGCCACTTTGGCAGGTGGGTGGATTACTTTGAGCTGAAGACAATCCAGACGTTGCAGGCTCATGAGAAACTTCTACCTCTTTCTTAAATAATTTAAATTAGGGGCCTTGCCCATAATAAGAGCGATCACCAGCCCTGACCAGGTGGCTCAGTCGGTTGGAGTGTTGTACCATACACCAAAAGGTTGTGGGTTCGAATGTGAATCAGGGCATATACAGGTGCAGAAAGGAGGCAACCAATTGATGTTTTTCTCACACACTCTCCCCCCTCTTTAAATCAATGAAAACAAAACAAGGATTTTAAAAAATAAGAGCTATCACCAGAAATAACTTTTTTTTATCTATCTCTATGGCAAGGTAAACATCTAGTTACTGAATACCTGCTTTTCTTATCATCCTGTGAATGAGCTCCCCTCTGAAGCCCCAAGGCAGGGGTGGGGAACTTTTTTCTCCAAGGTTATCCATAACCTCATTCTCCAGCCATACAACATTATCAGCTTAAAAATTAGCCTGCTGTCTTTGGTCAAACATTTAATTTACTCACGCCTAGTGCCTTGTAAAACAATTCTGTATTACATCACAATATAATGTACAATATTCTTACCTTTCGATGTAATTATCCCTATTTAATATCTCCATGTGGTTATCCTTTAGCCGTAGGTATGTAAAACCAAGTCTGTAGAGGAGAAGGCAAACCCAGTGGTTAATCTGAAATTTTGATATTCCTCTTTCAATAAAATATTTCTGTTTTACATTCTGGTAAAGCTTTCTTTTCGAAAAAGAAATACTCCTGGTAAAACAGAGGAAGTAAACTGAATTATAAACTTAGGAAATTATAATACTGAACTTACCATCTCACAAAAATTCTCCAAGGACCAAATGAATTTCTGACTTACCCTCCTAAGCACCACAGTGGTGAGGCCCATTCTTACTGGTCGGTATTAACAGGTTTCAGAGAGACAGCAGGGGGGTGGACTGGTCCCTGGCTATACTGACCCGGTTTTACTCACTGATCAGTGGGGTTGTTCCATAGAGGTTACACGTCAGAATCAGAAGGACCCTGAGAGACCGTCATTGTCCAGACCAGCTCTCACTTCACTGATGAGGACACCAGCTCTGGAGCAGGCTGCCAGGCAACAACGTCTGCAGAGCCCTTACTCTAACACCCTCCTCCTCCACCGCACACACGTGGAGCCATGGGCTGTTAGGGACATGCCGGGAGTGGGAGCAGGAAGAGTGCGTGGCTAATGACACAGCATGGCGCCATATTGGTAGGAAGGCACCATGGGACCTCGGGGCCCCATCCCGGCAGGAGCTGGGGGGTTGGGGGGCAGCTGAAGGAAAGGCTTCTTGGAAGGTGAGTCTAGAATGACAGGCAGGAGCAGCCTGTCCTCACTTTTGATATCAGTGACTGAATGTGGCTTAATTTCTGAACACACATTTTCCAAGAAGAGAGAAATCTGGCTTTGAGAAGTCTCCTATATGTACGTGTGGATTTATGCACTTAATAATTGACATGATTTACATACTTATGTCACTATTCAAACTGCATGGGAAACATACATTAGTTTAGTCAACAATAAAAACACTCTTCTAATTAGAGGAGAGGTGTTCAACACACACTTATCAATGGCAGCAAAGCGGGAAAATTAGTACCATTTGTGTTAAATTTGAATTGTAAGCTGTGATCATTAGAAGAACATTTCCCTTGACTTGAAATTATGCCATATATCTGGAATATTTAAAGTACTTTTTCAAGTGTTTGCTTAAATGCTGTATGTCATGAGGCAGCAAACACTCCCAATAAAAAGATACTGACGGAGGGAGGGTGCAAGAAGCACACAGACTTAATATGATAGGATACAAAGATAGGGAAGCCAACGGTAAAGAAAACCCCAGCACCCCAGCTTAATTCCTCTTCATGTTGTGTGACTTTGGGAAAAAGTTGCTTGACATCTGTGGGCATCAATTCTTTAGGATGGATGAGGAAGACTTTTCATGAGGGTGTCTAAGGTTGCTTGCATCATTAAAAGCTTGTGATGATTTGGAAAGGCCTCTAACCTTCTTACTGAAGAAGTGAGGAGGAAAAACTACCCATGTAAGACAGTGACAAACACTGGCAGCTGGGACCAAGCTGCTTCTCACGCTGACGGCAGGTTGTGGAGGTCAAGGGGACACTGAGGCGCCGGGGAGAATCTGCCCGTTGCAGATGACAAAGGCAGTACCTGCTCAGCCCACCCCTCAGTAGGCCCCCCAGGCACAGGGGCCTGACTCAGGACAGGTCCAGTGTGAGTCCAGGAGGAGTACATTGTTGGGGTGGAAAAGAACTCCAGGACCAGCTCAGCCCACCCCTCACAGCTGAGACCAGACTCGCGTGCAGCCAGAGACGTACCTCTGGACACCCTCCACTAAGGCCACCTCGTCGGGCGAGGACGATATGTACACACAGGATTTCCCTGAGTCTGGTGACTTCCTGGGCCCGTCCACGTCATCGTCGTCCTTCACCTGGACGGTGTGGCACAGGCAGAGGGCCCGGAAAAACAGCTCTTCTCGCTCCTATAGAAATGCAGGACAGAAACGCACACATCTATGGCATATCGGCTTAAAGGAGGAGGAAACCAAACAGAAGACAATAAACAATAAAGCAGGACATGCAACTCTTAAGGGTTAGGGAGTATTAGTTTTGCCTCCGGTAGTCAGAAGGTGGAGTGTAACTGTGGCTTTTGTTCATTCTTGAGCACTTCCACGGTAGCTACGATCAAGACCAATGGGCTATGAAGACGGAAAGGAAATGAATGTAGTGAGAGGAGGTGACTGGTTCAAGGTCACAAGAGGAGAACACGGCTGGGCGGAGCCTTGGGCCACTGGAGGCTGCCATGCAGGGCCTCCAGGAGCCTGGGTTCCGTGGGGACTCCAGGAAGCTTTCTCAGGGGTTCTGGGATGTCACGGTGGCTGAGGAGGGCCAAGGAGGGCTAGACTTGCATCACATGTGCTAGGCAGGGGAGTCCAGCAAATGGCCAGAGGGTGCAATGCCTGTGGAGCACCTCATGAAGGCCATAGACCACCTGTCCGCTCCTCTCAGACTGGGTGAAATCACCTGAAGCATGTGTGTGTGTGGGCGGTTCCCTTGGTCACAACAGGCGGTCACAGCCCAGCCCACTAAAGCAGCCATCCTTGGTGCCCTCGGGGACACCACACAGGACTCTGCGGTCACCAAGCATTCTGGAATGGTCTCCTGGCTGACCACAGCTGAGGGTCACGGCTGCCTCCTAGAAATGCTGAGATCTGAAGCCACCGCATTTGGTGTATGTGAGTGCATGTCTCTGTGTGTGTGTGAGTGCATTGTATGTGTGGTCTCTACCTGTGTGCACACATATGAGGATATGTGTGTGGGGTATATTTACATGTGCACAGTCTGTGTACATCATATATGCATATGTGAGTATGTGGCATGGGTCTCTGTGTGCATGTCTACGTGCACAGATGTGCATGTGAGCTCGCATGTGTGTGCATGTGGGTTTGGGTGTGAGTGTGAGCACGTGTATAGTACAAGCACATGTGGTATGCAGGTCGCTTTGCTCACAGCTGACCGCTTTCCTGCTCATCCACATTTTTAAAGCTGTTCCTAACATGATGTGACTGGGCAGATTAACTGGTGGGAAATGGTGGCATCTTACCATTCTTCTCGCTCAAGTCACTGGAAGATTCATGTCCTTCCTGGATCCCAGACCAGAGGGGACACCAGGCTACCTTGTGAACTGAGACAATGTGACAGTGTTGGTCCAAAAGGTCAAACACCTACCCTGCCACTGACCCCCGGGGAGGAGTCGATCATGTCGATGCCGGTGGCGCCGGGGAGAACCTGCCCGTTGCAGATGACGTGCGGCACGTAGACGTGGCCCTCGATGCAGCACTCCTTGAACTCCATGTTGTTCTCGGTGAGAGTCCCAGTCTTGTCTGTGAAGATGTACTCCACCTGCGGACAAAGGCGTGGCTGGGGTGCTGGCTAGGCCCCACACGCCCCTCTCCAAGGGGAGGAGGAGCGGCAGGCTGCCTCAGACCCCGGGCAGCTGTGATTCCTAACATCACGGTTTACCCCAAACCTGCCCCTTCACCAGGTACCTGACTTTTTTCAAAGTGAGGATCCACACTAACAATGAATATTTCACAATGTTCCCTCCTCTACAACAAGCCTCTCCACCGATCTCTGGAGCTCCTGTGCCATAAAGTCGTTCTTAGCCTTGCTCTGAGGCAGAATAACTTGCTGCACTGAACACGGCTCTCTGTTTATCTTGTTACAGAAAAATATTTTTTCCTCCGTGAATTTCTCCGGAATGTACAAAATACATCATTTACTATTGCAAAGGAAATGAACCCCATGGAGGTGAAGATATTCTAATACTGAGCCACCAACTTATAATTTGCACATTGCTGACTGAGACAGTACTCCACGAGGGGTGTGGAGTGTCCCAGAGGAATGATTTGAAGGTCAAACTCATGAACAAGCAAAATATCATCTTTTAGTAACAAGTATCCTTGCCCTGAGGAGGTGAAGCAGTATGCAGCTATCAGCGTCTAACCATCTATTTTCAGACCAATGTTTTGGGGCACAGGGAGTGGATTTCAGCTACTAGTTGAAAATAGCTGTTTATAAAAAAAACCTACTCAAAATTTCTTCCTGTAACAAAAGTAACTTAGCATTTATCAAATGCTCTTTCATGCAACAAAAAGGCCGGGGAAAGGTTAGACTGGGGTAGTGGGAAGGCTCCCACTGAAGGCCAGAGGACCAAGGCGAGGTCAGGGGGACAGGCCTCTCCCCAGTATGGGCTTCGCCCCCCCATCCAGGTGATCCCGGGTGACAATGACTCCTGCCCGTGCGGTTCCATTAGACACTGTGATGGGTGCCTCATCTCTGTTATCTCATTCAATCCCCACTGCACTCTGGTGCCTTCATTATGCCCGTTTTACAGATTGAGAAGCTCAGTGTGCACAGTGCTCATGCCACCTGCACCAGGCCATGAAGTCATCAATGTGGAGCAGGATTTCTATGTAGGGATTTTGAACCCTGCAATACATCCAGATATTGAAACTCCCCAGGGTCCCACTTTGCTCGTCTTTAAAATGAGGACAACAGGCTCGGTGTCAGAACTGAAGGAAATCATGGATGAGAGCCCAGTGCAATGCCTATGAAGCAGGTACTCAATACACGTTACCTCACCTTTACCCCTACACCTTGGTTCACAGCATGAGCACCATTTAGGCTACAGATGAGCGTGTCTCATCCAGTTAATGTAATTAATTTTGCATAACTATAACTATAAAAGCACTACCAACTGTCATACAAGTTAAAAACACACACAAACTAACAATTTCGTTGTTGTCTTTCCCCAGTACAGGTTCTATCTCTCTGCACTAATTAAAATGGAAAAGTTGTCATCTGGCCATCTGGATGATTTGCCTGCGTGATAGGAATCATTTAGAATCTAGATACCTGGGAACATAAAATGGAGGGACTCAGCCCTCACAAGATTATGAGACACTTCAGAAGACACTGACCTGTCCTAACTCTTCGTTTAAATCCGAGGTGTTGACCAGAGGCCCTTCGCCCATGTCCTCGTCAAACATTTCTTCATCCCAGGTGATGAAATACGAGCCAAGGAACTTCTGCATCTCCACCGTGACGTACATGGACACGGGGATGATGTAGTTGAACAGAACCATGAAGGCCAGGAAGTCCGTGAACGCCCTGAGAAACTGAGAGAACATCGCGTGATTTCCCACATCCTCACACCAACATCACAGCTATTTAAAGCTTAGGCACAAATCACCCAAGTGCAGATTTTAAGTACAAGTATTTCAAATCCAAAGACACGGCTCATTCAGGGGCTGCAGCGGCCACTGGATGACTTGCCTGTCACTTAATTTTAGTGCTGCAATGGCCTCAGGCCAGCCCGGCCTCTGGGCTGGGGAGGGGGAAGGATTAAGTCACCTGTTAGATAGTCGTTTTGCCAGGAGACAGGAGGCCTCCCAGCTGAGAGCCAGTAGGAAACTTTACATTGGGAGTATCCCAAGTTTCCTTTGAGACTCTGACAAATGACCAACTGACTCTGTAATAACCCACAGATGCCAAAAACATCAGTCTGATACAAAGATTTTTCTATATAGTCTGTTCTTATCTCTAAGCCATTTAGTTTTATGGGAGGCCCAATTAAACACAGGAAAGAAGTAGGGACCCTAGTCTGGATTTGCATAAATCCTAGTCTGGACGCAGTGGGCCCTGGTCTGGATTGGTTCCACACCTGCTCTGGACGCAGTGGGCTCTGGTCTGGGATTTGTTCCAGACCTGCTCTGGACGCAGTGGGCCCTGGTCTGGATTGGCTCCACACCTGCTCTGGACGCAGTGGGCCCTGGCATGGATCTGTACTAGACCTGCTCTGGACGCAGTGGGCCCTGGTCTGGGATTTGTTCCAGACCTGCTCTGGACGCAGTGGGCCCACTCCTGGTTGGAGTTTACACTCAGCTCTGGCCTGCACTGAGTAGATACTGGTCTGGATTTGCACACAACTCCACTCTATACTGAGTGGACACTGGTATAGAGTTGCACATGGCTCAGGTCTGGACTCACTGGGCCCAACCAGAAAACTATACTGTTTTAAGTAGAAGAGGTTCGATCAAATTATTTTAATATACTGGTTTTGGGCAAAATACTTTTGATAAACATTTCTCATTTGAAAAATGAAAGTAATTCTTACCCTAGTTTCCATATAATTGTCTCTTTTTTGTCCACAGACGTACCACAAGTAAGTACCATTTACTGCACAATCATTAATGAGCATTCACTGAGCATCCTCTAAGTATAGACACTGCTCTGGGTTCTGGAAACACCAAAAGCATTTAAGGCGCATCCATATGAATGTACTATGGGAACTAATACCTTTCCAGACTTGGATATTCAAATCCAAAGAAAGCAAAAGCAACCAGTATCTGCAGCTAGAGAGGCAACCAATGCTTTCCATATCGGTGCATGCACTTATTATAAAGATTGGATCAACCGCAACTTCATCATGTTAACACATTTTCACAGCAGCCGCCCACAGGGCGTTGTTGATCACTGCAAAGGAAGTCAGTGTCCATACCAGGTTCCTCTGTCTTTCTGCTTCGGTTTTCTGATTATACCACGGCTCATCTCGGGATGGTTCACTCTGCCACACGTACTTCAGGACAGTATTTATCAGCGCTTTGCTGATGAGAATGCAGAGGTACACTATGAGGAACACATTCATTGATCTAAAACACAAGAGGTAACGGTTACTTAGTCAGTGCTCCCTGAAGAATTGCGAGCTGCACACCTGTGTGTCGAGGTGAACACATTGTGACAAAACAGATCAGGAATAAATGGCACAGCAATGAGAGCCCTTAGAAGACCCCTCTCCCAATCCACTGACAGTGAAAATAACGTACGCTCATTTCTGAGTCTCCTCCATGGCCACTGGCGTGTGATTCTAGACACCACAAGGGGAACAGCTCAGTAAAGGCAAGTTTGTAAACAGGAGAGAGACTCCACACAACCGCGTTGCTGACCCAGGTCTCTGTATGGTCTAGGACTCTATCATTTAAAGAACATCCAGAAATAAATTTCTTCTACCTATAAGCATCAACCAATGAGTTCTGAATTTAGAGCAGACCACCAGGAAGGGAGGAGGGAAGGAGGGAAGGCAACAAAGAAAGAAATGCCCTCTGCGTCAGAATAACGTTCAATCTGTAGCCAAGGTCTCAGCAGACCTCATGAAGAAGAGGTGATTTTCCAAAACCTATTTCTGAAACCTATTTGTCAGTGTAGACATCTGGAAACAAAGCGTTCTTGCTTAGGAGCCAAGTCTGCATTTTGGTATTTGATGAGGCCAGAGATAGACAGGGACCCAGGATCGCATTTCAAGACTGGCATTCTGAGAGGGGGCAGGAGGCACCGACAGTCTTCCCCCCCAAACCTGAGAGTAGCACACATCTCTCTGTTAAAAAAATTGTAACCGCTCAGTGGCCCACTTCAAGTTGAGGATACACTTTAACAAGAGGCAAAGACGGAAAAAATCTGGGCCACATTTTCTTACAAATTCAACTCTCTCCTTGACGTATTTTTACAAAAATTTTATGGTTTAATAAAAAGAAGACTCTGTTCTCCCTGCTAATGCTTTGCTCAGGAAAACATGTGGTTTCAACACCCCAAATTAAAAATGACCCAACTTTGACTTTTTCAGGAAATGATGCGAGGAACTGTTGGGCAACTGCAAATGACTTCAAACTGGGACTTTGGGGTGTCCGGGGTGTCCACATGAGGGAGCCACATGGGCTGAAGGTGTGTGACCATTCACATCCCCCCCAAAATAAGACAGTCGATCTAAGTAATCAGCTCCACTGTCCATCTAGACACCATGAAGGAATTGCTAATCAGGCCAAGAGAAAAGTGTTTTCATATCTACTGTGGTTTGGTCTCCTAAGTCACAGATTTTTACCCACTTCACACAATGGGGACTGAACCTTACTTTTCTACAGCGGATCGTTTCTGGGATTTTGATTGATAATTTAATGCCATCTTGGTTTCCATGCCCGTATAAATAGCAACACCTGTAAAGTAGAGAATAAATGTCAGAACAGTAACACAACTGTATTTGCCTTTACATAGTAAGTTACACACAGCTATGGTGAAAATGGAATTTGGGGTAAAGGGAATTATATTTTTTATTTCACTAGGCAAGCTAGCTGTTCATAAACAGAGTCACACAATAGGGTTCTTTAGACTAAAGAAGTACTTTTTTAAAAAAATTTCCTGCAACAGAGAACAATCTGTATTTTTTATAAAGCTCATTTTAATAATTTGGGTTTTCCCACAAAAAGGTACAGCAATTTTAATTAAAAATTTATTTTAATTAAAACATAAAAAATAACCCACACAGAAATGGGAGATACTAGTAAAGAAATAAAGTCACTAAAAAAATATTGTTACAAAATACACTGTGTGGATTCTTTCATGGATTAACTTTGTTTCTGAGTCAAAATCTGTAGGCACGTAATATATAAGCAATATCCTCAGATGTCACTGCTTTATGGATTGCAGTTATACATCAATAGTGCTTTTCTTAGTGATGCAGAATTATTGCTGTCATCAAGTCTACAGTACTTCAAAGTACAGAAGATGCTTTCATGGTACCACTATTGTAATTACTTAACATACCCTTAACTTTAGAGGCTATGATTAATAATTCACTAATTAAAATATTTACCAAAGATTTTCTCAGTGTTCTTTAGTGTGGCTCCTCTAAGAAGCACGTTTTCCGATCCTAATGGCCTGTAAAGACAAGAATGACCAGAAACAGGGCAATGGAGAAACCATAGTGAAAGGCATGCTACAAGGTGAAAGTTAACTCACTTGCCTAACAGACTTCATGGGAAGAGGAAGTCGTTTTAAATGTAGATTTGCTTATATTCGGATGAGAAAAGTCAGCCTGGGTCCATGGAACAGTGTGTGTGACCCCTGCCTGCCGGAGGTTAAGAACCCGCTCTGATGGAAGAATTTTGCAGAGTTCTAGCTCTGCGAGCACCTGCTCTCCTGGTGCGGCACATGTCAGCAGGCTCCCAGACCTACCGAGCCAGGTCTGAACATTTTAACAACATTCTATTAGCGATCGCTTGTGAGGGTGGTGGGCTGACAAGTGGGGTCCCTGCACCAGTGCCATCAGCAGCACCGGACAACTTGCCTGAAGAGTCACCTCGATGGACTGAATCAGAAACCTGCTCCTAACAGGTATCAGGTTTCAGGACCCCTGGACGGGAGGACCCCAAATGTTCTGGAAAAGCGAAAGGGTGGTGCCTCTGAGTCATGTGGCATCAAGCCACTTCTATCACGTCCTGTGTCTATCACTCAGTGTGTCATGGAGGCATGGAACAGACTGACATACCTCGATGTGGGGTTGGGGGTAGGAGAAGAGATAAACCAAAGAACTTATATATTTATAGGCATAGCCCATGGATATGAGCAATAGGGTAGTGAAGACCGGTAGGGGCTAGGAGGAGGGGAGGGAAGGGGGGAATGGGATATATCTGTAATACTATCAACAATAATAATATATTAAAAAATAAATAAAGGTGAAGGCTGGGATACTCTGCGTGCCTTTATAAACACTGGCAGTCAAGTCCACAAAGCCGTCTACATGCAGGTGGCTGTAAATCTGGAACAATCCATGCATTTGCTACTTTGGGGAGAAACGGGCAACAACCAAGGAATTTAAAAAGCGCGCATTAAGAACAAGCACTGCCCTACACTCAACACTCAACAGGGAGCGACGGACAGCATCTCTGCCTCCCGGAGGTTCACATTCCAGCAGTTCCCCTTGTTGATGGAGTAATCGTTTCTTCTCGTTTCCCAAGAGGAAAAGGAAAGCATGAAGCAGAATTCAACTTTACACAGTTTGCTATTGTCAGCATTCTCATCATTTTCTTTGGAAGGGAAAGAGTTGGAAGCATTTGCTGAAGTTTGCTTTTTACTCCATCAGTGTCTTTAATTTCCTTTAACCATGGAATGTTGAGAACCTAGTGAATGCTATACACCTCAAATGTGTGCAGTGTATTTAGCTGATACAGCTCAGGACTGTGTCCAGCTGAAGACGAGAAAGAGGGGGCTGCTGAGAGGGAAGAGTTGGCTGGGACACACTTGACCTGACGTGTCTGCCCAGGGCTGCCCGAGGGTCTCAGCACTCGCCCCTCAGCCTGGCAGCCACCTTGAGAGCCTCCAGGGCTGAGTACTTGCTGCGGTCTGGCTGTTAGAAGCATTGTCGGCCTCTGTGAGCTACGCTAACAATAATTCACGTGGAGCGTGCTCATGAAAACAAATGGCCCCTTTAAAAAGTGGCTCTGGGAAGTCTAAAAATAATTTACTTTAAAAAGTACTTTGCTTCCAGTTTGGACAGGAGGATGAAGAAATATGACCCTGAGTGGATTAAGAATTTAGATATATAATTCATAACTGTCCACACCACAAACTTATAAACATCGTTAAGTACCCAAATATTAAGAGTCTGCTGAATAGTATAATGCATAAAAAGCTAAACTAGAATTGCTATCAAAATACAAAATGGATTAGTAATAATCTTCCCAAGATGCTTGGCATTAAACTTCGTCTAAACAGAAAGCATGAAAAGCCTGCAGTGTTTACTTTGTCTGATTCATTACATCAGCAATATGAATAAATAGTAATCTATTACTTGTTCAAACAGTAATTCTCACAAGACACAGAAATACAGGTCACTTTTCCAAACTAACCAGGAATTAGCTGCAGACTAGTATCTATTTAGGAAAGACCGAGCAATGCCTCCATCAATTTTGAAAACTGCCCTAGCCAGTTTGGCTCAGTGGGAAGAGCGTCTGCCTGTGGACTGAGGGGTCCCAGATTAGAGTCCGGTCGGGGGCACATGCCTGGGTTGCGGGTTCAATCCCCAGTGTGGGAGTTGCAGGAGGCAGCCAATCAATGATTCTCACTCATCATCGATGTTTCTCTCTCTCTCTCTCTCCTTCTCCATTCCTCTCTGAGGTCAATAAAAATATATTTTTTTAAAAATTCTGAAAGCTACCAACTAACCAGCAGATAAATAATGATGAAAACATGCTAAGAAGTGCACAAATTGTTTCCTTTAAACAAATAGTTTCAGGAGCTTATAAGGAGATAAGCCCCAACGAATTATATTTCAGTAACTTATTATTTCGTGGCAGTTTCCCATTGAGTTTATTTCTACTTATGAGCAACTTTAAAAAAAAAAAAATACACAAAGTGCCCTGACGGGTTTTGGCTCAGTGGATAGAGCATCGGCCTGCGGACTCAAGGGTCCCAGGTTTGACTCTGGTCAAGGGCATGTACCTTGGTTGCGGGCACATCCCCAGTGGGGAGTGTGCAGGAGGCAGCTGATCGATGTTTCTCTCTCATTGATGTTTCTAGCTCTCTATCCCTCTCCCTTCCTCTAAAAAAATTTTAAAAAAAAACAACATAAAGTACTACCAGGATATTGGCAACTTGGAGACTGCTTAAATCTGGGGGTGGGGGGGGAGGGGGAATAATTTCTCTAACAGGTGAGATTTATAAAAAAGGTCAACTCCTAAACCCACTTAAAGTCAATTTCCTAAACTGTAGATCTCGAATACCTTAGCACCAATGAACTGCCAGGATCCTGAAACAATGTCCAGATAAAACATCCACAGGCCTGAGGAGCAGACACAATACAGACCCAGAGATGTGGGCTGGATGTTAACATCACACTGGTCCTGACCACAGGCGGTGAGCACATCCCCCTGTGACCTACACAGGCCTCAGCAATGCCCGGCAACAGGTGGATGTGAGCCTGAGACAGGCCCTTGTGAGGTACATCCCCTTAAGTCAGCGGTTCTCACCCTGTGGGTCGCGACCCCTTTGGGGGTCGAACGACCCTTTCACAGGGGTCGCCTAAGACCATTGGAAAACACATATATAATTACATATTGTTTTTAGTAGCAAAATTACAGTTATGAAGTAGCAACGAAAATAATTTTATGGTTGGGGGTCACCACAACATGAGGAACTGTCTTAAAGGGTCGCGGCATTAGGAAGGTTGAGAACCACTGCCTTAAGTCTAGATGAAATCCAGAGCCAAAACCATACCCCAGTAACGATTATGGGTAGATTCATACATTCCAATAAAAGGGCTTCCAAACCAGAAATCTTTCAACTTCCCAGTTGACAACATACTTGTCTATAAATTCTGAAAAGGAATTTCTTTTTTTTTTTTTTTAATTGATTTCAGAGAAGAGAGGGGGAAAGAGAGATAGAAACATCAACGATGAGAGAGAATCATTGATTGGCTGCCCCCTGCATTTTCCACATTGGGGATCGAGCTGTGACCTCCTGGTTCATAGGTCGACAGTCAACCACTGAGCCATGCTGGCTGGGCTGAAAAGGAATTTCTTTTCTTTTTTTAAATTTTTATTATTTTCTTAAATCCTCACCCGAGGATATTTTTCCATTGATTTTTAGAGAGAGTGGAAGAGAGAGGGAAAGACAGAAAGAAACACTGATGTGAGAGAAACACAATGATTGGTTGTCTCCAGCAGGAGCCCTGACCAACGCCCAGGCTGGGGAGGAGCTTGCAAGTGCAGTACATGCCCTTGACCGAATCAAACCCCAACCCTTGGGTCTGCAGCCAACGCTCTGAGCCAAACTGGCTAGAACTGAAAAGGAATTTCTAATGGGGGAAACCGCACCCTCTCCTCTGCTTGGGAACTGTTAGATGGGCTCCTGACCCTTCTGGGCTGTGAGACCCTCAGCAGAGTCTTGTGAGAGAACATTTCCCATGAGCGTCGTTCATTTGTTCACACATATAGCTGTATACTCAAGAGAAATCTGAAAACACTACAACCTAGACTTCTGGAAACGCCTAATTCTACTTTCAAAACCCAATAGAACAACAACACTAAAAAACTCTTATCAGTAAAAAAAAATGCACTTGTAATTTAAAAGTAAAGAGATGAAAGTCTCCAAATTTGTTTAAGAGAAGCACATCGCCTCACCTCACCACGGGGTCATTCTGATCATTGTAAACATTTATTCGGCCCACAAACCTGGCAACAGAAAAGTCAGGTTAGTGGCACAGCAGCAACACGGGGGTGGGGGACCCTGCGGGGAAGAGGCAGACCGGAAGTGCCCAGGCTTACACACCTGCCTTCCTGTTTCTACGAAAGGAGGAATGTGTGCTCACTACCTGGGATTCTTTACCCAAAGGCACATCTGTGAGTAGCTAAACCACTCTACCTTCCCCCTCTTTCTTAGTTTACTTTCTGTTCTTATTATCCCAGGACTTAAATGATTTTCCTTAAAATCACTTCCTCAAAGTAGAAAAAAATTATTTTTTCTGCAACAAATTTAGTTTCATTAAGCCACTTCTAATGTTTGCATAAGTAGCTATAGATTTAAATGTTGTCGGACTCTGAAAATATATAAGTAACCTATTTTTAACTCAGTCTTAACTTTAAAGCAGTGATTGATGTTCTCTTTCCAAACCCCCAGGCCAGTAGACTATTTGGGGTGGAGAGCAAGAACAGCATTTAGGCGATAAAGAGATACTCGTGGGGAGCACAGATCTCACCTGTAGAGGTCGGGCTGGGGCTGCTCGCACTCAATGGTAGCGTGGAGGCCATCTATCTCTTCTTCTGTTTGAAATCCCTTTGTGTCTTGAACTGCATAATGTGTCTGCAGATGGACAAGAAATGTGAATTCACAACAAAATGAACAACACAAACCTGGCAGCCAATGCCTCCAATCCCAGGGCAGCATTGACGACCAATTTTTTGTGCATATAAATAAGACCGATGACAATGCCTGGCTAGCATATGAGAAAAGTATAATAAAGAGTTTGAAAACAGTAAAAGTTATAGATTTATAGATTACTGCTGTTTTTCTTGTATCTATTAGGTGCCAGAAAGTTCTTCCATTCTTACCCAGTTTCCTCAACTTAAAACTAATAACAGTGTTGAAAATTCTTCTTCAAAATTAGACACCTCGATTTATCTGTCATGGTGGTGACTATCAATTAGGAAACAAATTTAAGAGCTAAAATATTCCTTTTTGTTTATATAACATCCTATTGATTATAGCAGGGGTGGGGAAGCTTTTTCCTGCCAAGGGCCATTTGAATATTTATAACAACGTTCACTGAATATAAATTTATGTTGCTATGAAAAAAGCTCCTAGATTTATTGCATTTCGAGTCCCGCCTGGGGTTGCCTAGGCAGGGCCAGACCAAATGATTTCACGGGCCTCATGTGGCCCACGGGAGACGTTCCCCACCCCTGGCTTACAGAGAGCTGTCATCAGCATCAGGAACTGCCCTCGCCTGACACAGGAGAATGTAAGCTTTCTGCATAGCTACTCACTTGCCCCCGTCCCCCTACTCACTTGGCTCCTCGAACCTGAATGTTCATCAGAATCGCCACAGAGGGCTTGTAAGGCACTGATTCCTGGACCCCACCGGGGATCATGTTAGAAATGCAATTCTCAGGCCCCATCCCAGCTTTCTGATGCCAAGGGTCTGGAGTGGGGCCCGAGGCCTGCATTTTTAACATGATCCTACCTGATGCCTAAGCTGCTGGGCTGGGACCCCGTTTGGAGACCATGGGGCCAAACGGTATTAGTAAGCATGGACAGACAGGTGGGCTCGCCTTGGGAGGAGAGAGGAAAGAAACACTCGTGCATGAGGGCCTGGTGAAGGAGAACACACCGCTATGTCTCCTCTTATCTGTCTCTCTAATGATCAAGTGCTAGACACATAAAATGTTCAATAAATCAAAACTAACAGGAGATATGATCACAGCAACCGTAGCAGGATTTGTAACATTTCAGGGCATTTATTGTGTATCGAACACTTCGGGAAAATTTCTAGTTATGTCTCACAGGCGCCCCTAGAAGACAGGTTTGTCCCTGTTTTATGGATGGGGAAACTCCAGGGAGGCCAGGTCTGCCACGGTCATGAGTAATGAATGTGACCAGCGCAGGAGTCCCACTCCCCAATCTCCTTTTAAGCAAAGGGCTCAGATCTAGCCAGCCACCCAAGCCAAACCCAATGCACAGAAATGACGCCAGAGGGCACACATTCAAGGTGCTGAGCACACCACGCCAAAGGTCAAAGTAAAATGTGGACTCGAGTGAAATTTTACCTGAGAAGAGTGATACACCTAGAGCCCTGCAGCATCTGTTCACAGCGATGCTGAGACCTCTGTGAGCAGCCACATCCCTCCCGGGAGAGGGGTGGAGCGGGCAGCCCACTGCCCACAGTGAGGGTGTGGGTGGCTCACTTGTTTTGTTTATTTATTACAGTGTATTCATCCAGCACTTGATTATTAGAGAGGAAGACACGAGGAGAGTTAGAGGTGTTTCCTGTCAGAAAGGACCGGCACATAAACTCCTCACGCTCCAGAGACCGGTGGCAGGTTACAATAAACACCTGAAACCCAACCCCAGGGATTTCCATTCCCAGAATCACTGTTGCTCACAACGGCTTGTGCCAGAAAGTCAACTCTGTTGGGATGTGCTACGTAGAAAATGTGAAAGTAAATGCCGAAAACCCTCCACAGGGCTTTGCACAATGATACTATGAATTATCCTTAAAAGATTAGCACATTCTTTAGGGTTTTGCAAAAAAAAATTTCTCTTTCTCATCCTAGAAATTGCCTATATTCATAGGTATCGTTTAAGCATCGTGTTTTAGAGTTGCAATTTTGTGACCTAATGCCTTGATTCCGTTGAGATATACTCACTCTTATAAACTCCTTGGAAGCTTCCAGATTTTTTAAATAATGAAAACCTTAAAATTAATAGTGATATGTTCTATTCTCTCGTGATTGTTAATTAAAATTTGTAGCATCAGCTACCAGTACAGAATTCCATACTGAATGTAAGAAATTAATTATAACCTCAGATATTTATTAAAATATTTTAACAAAAAGACACTCATTGAAGTAACAGTGAGTGCGGCAAAAATCTAGACTCATGTGGGACTTTTCACATAATTCCAGGGTAGTAAAGACACTAATTCTGACTGGTGAAATGAAAACTTTCAAAATTTCAGCAATCAATTCATTACATCCTTTGGTACCTCTGCTAAAGGACACAACTACATAAATAACATGAAGTTATTTCTGTTAACTCAATGGTTGGATGTTATGAATACCAAGGGTGGAAAGAAAAAAGTAGAAAACAGAAAGAAACAAAAGTCAAAAAACAATCTGGCCAGCACAAGTCCCTGGGTTTCCACTAAAAACTGGATTTCCAAACATGATGTAGCTTCTAGCCCCGCAAGCACAGCTGGGGAAGGAAGGGGAGGCTGCACAGGATCTCCAACAAAAGGCACGTTACTTTGTGACTCGACTCTCCATCTAAGCTGGTGGTTGTCACGTGGCAGGTCCCATCTCCCCGGCTGCTGGACAGGAAGATCAAGTCACAGGGGAAGGACTCATCCTCCTTGACCATGACGATGTCCCCAACCTGCAGGACAGACAGACAGACAGTGCCATCAAATGAACTCTGCCACTGTGCAGCAAGATTTCCTTTTTCCTAATGTGCCAGTCGATACTCACTGATACCATTATGGTGTTTGTTTACCGGAGGATATATGGATGCTAATGTGACTCTAGAGAAAGATCATTTCCCAGGCATTTTGCCCAAACGGACGACAGACCAAGTGAGGTTTCAATGTACCAATTTTAGATCTGAGAAGCATCAAAGTGCATTACGATTGAGTATTTTGCAATGGAAACACAAACATCCATAACAGGATTATCCTTGATTCAGCCCAAAAGGATGAGTTCTAGTGTTTCATTAATGGGTCCAAGTGGGAATTATCCTTGGAGGAAGACGCTGACTTAAAACAAAGTGTCCCATAAACCAGGTAGGAGAGTTCTAAATGCTGGCAGAACAACAGAACCAAGACACTGTCCAGATCACTCAAGCGGGACTAAGAAGAACGCAGAAGTGGCAATCACCTTAAAAAAACTAGAGCAAAAAAGAGCCACAGAACGTCTGTCATACAGATTTTTAAATAAGATGAAACATCCCACTTTTTGTGTCATCACCAACCAAGACATCTAAATGACCTCCCAGAAAGGCCCCTTTTCTCTGATTGTGACTTCAGACTTTGTGTCAGGAAGGCAAATGACCATTAATATCAAGGCGACTAGCCAGAGGGTTCAAATCCTTCCAAGCGCCTGGATGTTCCTGCTGCCACTGCAGGTGCTTCCAGAATCAGGACATCAGCGTGCTTCTGCCTGCACTGTAAGTGCAGTTCCCTGTCACACTCCATTACTGCCCCAACTGAGTGTCTGAGAACTTCACATTGGAGGGTTATTCCTCAAATAGACCTTTGTGTTCAGTGAAATCCCTATAGAAAATCCCAGCAAAGATTTTTGTAGACACAGATGGGCTTATGCTAAAAGTTAGGTGGAAAGGTGTAGGCCTAGAATAGCTACAACAATCCTGACCAAGAAGAATGAAGGGCGGGAGTCACTCTGCGGATGTGAAGGCTTTCTATGCAGCTGTGGCAGCCAGGATGTGCTGGTACTGGCAGAGGACGGGCACAAAGAGCAATGAAACAGAGCAGAGCACAGTGAGACTGAGCCACACAAATAGCTTCCGACTAACTAACTTCAACAAAAGTACAAAAACAATTCAACGGAGAAGGAACAGCCTTTCCGTCAAATGATAGTAGAACAATTGGGCAATGATAGGCAAAAAACAAAAAAAAAAAGGAAACTTTGCCCTAAACCTCACATTTTATGTGAAAATTAATTCCAAATGGAACATGAATTTAAATGTAAAACATAAAACTGTTAGAAAAAAGTGCAGAACATCTGTGGGCTCCAAGTTAGGCAAAGAGCTCTTAATCGTTTTTAAATAATATATTTTTATTGATTTTTAGAAAGACAGGAAGGGAGAGAGATAGAGAGATAGAAACAGTGGTAAGAGAGAAATATTATCTATCAGTTGCCTCCTGCATGCCCTGCTCTAGGGATGGAGCAGGCAACCCAGGCATGTGCCCTGATTGGGAATTGAACCAACAACCTCTTGGTTCTTGGGGTGACACTCAACCGCTGAGCAACACCGACCGGCCAGAGCTCTTAATCTTGACACTAAAAGCATGATCCATAAAAGGGAAAAAAAATCAATAAATTGGACTTCATCAAAATTTTATTTTTATTT